AATAGCAGAGAAACAGTTGCCACTAGGCCCCCAATAAAACAAGACTGGATGATGAACACATTTTTCTAGTTGTTGTTTTATTTTCTCCTATCAAATTAGACCTGGAGCAGTTTTCAATAGTTCTTTCCTTAATTTAATTTGAAAAGGGAAAATGAAAGTTTTTTTACTCCAAAATATTCTGGGTAAGGGAGACTGGAGATGGAGAGGAAGAAGACAGAATTCACACTTGTGTTCTTCAGAAGAACCTGACTATTCTAACACAATACTGAACATGCATCCACTTCCTGTCCCAAAACCCAGTGCAGGCCTCAATGGAGCTCCCATGTTCCACTGTGTTTCATTAGCTCACGTCTCTGTGATAAGTTTGCTTAAAAAAAAAAAAAAGGAAATAAAAGCAGTATGACAAATATAAAAGAATTTTAACCATTCAGAATGATGCTAAAAATCTGCCTTCCAATCCCTGATCCATAATTCCTTTCATCAGAGGTAACCCCTGTTAACAGTTACTTTTGTATCCCTCTTGGGGGGAAATACATGTGTATGTCAGCTTAAATATATTTCCTTTGAAAATGGACATAAACAAAATCATACTGGGCTTTTTATTCTGCAGCTTATTAACAGTGTTATTTGGAGATCTTTCTGGACCAATCAATCAATTTAGGTCTTTATCTTTTTAGCATGATGTTGTATGTATGTACCTTCATATAGAAATCCAAACCCAAATAGCTAGGCACTGATTTCTTTCAGGTTCTTTGTTATGACAGTGTTAAAACTATGTCTTAGCACATGTAGAATACATACCTGGCAGTGGCATTACAGGTTAAAGGAGGTCAGACTTTAAAATTTTTGATACCCGCTGCTGTCAAGTTGATTCCAACTCATAGCAACCCTGTATAGGGTTTCTCAGGCTGTAAATCTTTATAGGAGCAGACCGCCTCATCTTTCTCCCACAGAGTGACTGGCGGGTTTGAATTATGGTTAGCAGTCCAGTGTCTATCTTATGATGCATTGACCAGTGGTTGCACTAGTTAATTTTTCTGGAGTATATTTGCACACACACACACACCCCAATTTTTTTGCAAATTTTTCACCTTCAAAATTATAAGTAATGGTTTAGAGAATGCCCAAATGTCCTTCACTTAGATTCAACAATTTTGTGTTGGCACATTTGTCTCTTTCTTGTAATTTATTTATTTTGTCACATATTAATATAATTATTTATTATATACCTTCTACTCCACTTCTGATGTGGTGCTGTAGGATAAGCACTGGACTTCTGACTGCAAGATTGGCAGTTCATACCCACCAGCCACTCTTGGAAACAGTGTCACTGTGAGTCTGAACTGACTCCAGGGCATTTAACAACAACAACTCTTCCCTTATGGACTGCCTTGCTATCCAGCATTTTGCATTTCTGGCAATAGCAAAAAAAAAAAAAAAAGAAAGAAATTAGGCTATTTTGCATATTAATGATGTAGTTAGGTAGCAGCTAGTGAACATGGAGGTGCTAGGTGAGAGTAATATTGGCTGTGATGGTTAAGATATTATATCAGCATAGTTGAGCCATGATTCTCAGTGGGTTTGCAGTCGTATAATGATGTAGTCATCCTCCATTTGTGGTTTGTTCGTTTTGTTTTCCTTATTCATATGATGTCGATTTTCATATAACAACCTGGTCTTCAGAACCTACCCATATTGATAAAGTATGAGTATTATCAATATGTATGAGTATTTATTTTAGAATTATGGTGTATTTATTATGACTATATACTCTATAATATAGCTATTATATGATTATGATATAATTATTATATGTAATTATATATTAGAGCATAGGATATGTCATGTTTTTTGCCCCTAAACTATTTAAAAGTAAATTGCTGCCATTCTAAGACTTCAGCATGTATCTCCTAAGGTCAAGGACAGTTCCTTGGTATAAGCTCTGATTCCTGTGTTTTATGCTGATGGGTGCAGAGAAAAAATGAGCAGGAAGGTTACTGTGGCCCAGAGTGAAATCCAGATCATTTTGTCCTGGTCCAGTGTCCTCCCTGTCTCCTTGAGCCCCTGATCCCTCAGTGAGACTCAAGGGAAGGAGGCTTCCTGCTTTTGAGGACCATTCAGACAAGCGGGACCTCTTCACTTCAACTTCAAACTTTTTGGAATTACTGATGTTTTATATCTGTGATGTGTCAACAAAATGAGAGGTCTCCTTACAATTCCACCTGGTTTTTTTTTTGCTATCAAAATGCTTCTGTAAACACCAGTCTGGTTCTGTCACTTGTACAGGCAGTCTGTATTTATTGGAGAAGCAGGGTTTATTGATTTGGGTACTGTTTTCTCCATCCTTCTCCTCCTTTTCTACCCTCATTGGTAGCACAGGCTTATAAAGCTACCTTTATAAAAAGTTGGGTCTTGACAGAGCATCTTAGTGGACTTGTGTTGGTGTGTGATAGAACCTCACACATGGAGCATTTTTAGTGCTTATTGTAGTAGATAGAATCCTTATAGAAATAGTCTCTCTGGGATCTTAAGCAAGTTTTGAAACTTTTTATTTCCTTTTGTTCATTTGGCTGCATCTGCAGTTCTGAGCTGAAGATGTGAATCTGATGTGTCTTTTATCATCTGAAGTTGATCAGGTAGCTGAAGGAGTGGCCTGCACCTACCATCTGTTCTGTAGCTGGAAGTGTCACTCTCTAGTGCTGTGACTACAGCCAGTATCCTTCCTCAGTCCTCTCCACCCCTAGTACTCTGTCATCTGCACATGTAACAGTCGTTTTTCTAAAACAAAAGTCCAACCATGTATTTGATGCTGCTTAGAACTCTTCCTTGGCCTTTCCTTTGTTAACACGATTCATTCCAGGACTCTTAGTCCAGATCTTTCCTTATTTGACCTCTGCTCAATGTGTCTTCCTTGTCACCTGCTATTCCACTGTCTCAAGTCCTACATTTAAACCTCATCCACTTAAGCCAAACTTACTCAGCTGTGTGATCTTCCTGTACTTATGCTTGTCATGTTTGCTCTACCTAGAATGTACCTTCTCTTCCCCCTCTGTGGTCCACTTGCCAAATTCTCATTCAGACTTCAGGACCTGACTTGACCATCTCCCATCAGTGCAGCCTCTCTTGATCAGTGCCCTTCCACCTGGCAGGCGGGGTTAATCATCCTGCCCTTCATTCCACCTCAGGCTTACCACCTCTCTAACATTATCATACTACTGTGTTACATGCCTGCCCCGGCCAGACAACTGACTTTGCCTTAAATCCTCAATGCCTGTATTGGACCAGGCACTCAGTTGATGTTTGGGTGGCTGGGTGGGTGGATGGATGGATGGGTGGGTGAATGGATGGATTGATTTATGCCTGCATAGAGCATACCCTGAAATTAGAAATAGCTACCTTCCACTCCAGTGTTTATACAAGAGAGGCTTGTCACAAGGAAGAATACAATGAGTCACACACAATGAGAAGTCATCCTTCTTAAGTATCCAGTTCTGAAGTGTCTATACTGATTGACGGCAGTACAGGGTCTCTCCAGCCTTCCCTGGGCTCTTTGTGTAGAGTCTCATGTTAAAAGAGAAAAGACCTTATCTTCTTAGTGTAAACATTGTGAATGAACTGATAATGCAGCTTGTGATGTGCATCCATCTTCATGTTTGCTGCTTTGGAAATTTGCTGAATGTCTTTCTTTTCTTTCAGTCAAACGCTTCAGAGAACCAAAGCATGAAAGACGTCCATGGAAGATATGGTGGGTATTTAAGTATTAATTCATGTCTAGCATGCTTTTGATTATTTGAGAGTTTGTAGGGACAGGAGAGTAATGTCATCAGTTACACAAAACATGAAGTGTCTGGAATCCCTTAGTTGAGTTAACCATCAGGAACTGTGTGTAATATGAAAGCATCTCTGTTTTCTCCAGATGACTTTTGAACCTTGTCTTTATTTTATCATGTTTCTGCTATCCATATTGAAAGAACGAAGACATTACTCACACATGAGGCTCATCTGATTGTGTCTTTCTTTCATTAGATTATGTTTAAACTCCTGTATTCTATAGTATGGGGAGTGCGGTAGCTCCTCCATAGGACAAGCACTGGACTGCAAACTACCTGATTGGCAGTTCAAGCCCATCAACCACTGCACAAAAAAAGATGTGGCTTTCTGCTCCTGCAAAGATTTACAACCTCAGAAACTCAACAGCACTTAACAACAATTCTGTATGCTTAGGCAAAAGAAAATTATCCAAATTTGGAGATTAGTCAACATGCCACATAAATATTCCTCTCCCCAAAACAAGCCTTTCTTTGTCCTACGATAAGCCTGTGGCTTCAGGATTAGCTTCAAAAGATGAAATTTAAAAAGCTGCTGTGTCCTCAGAAGTCACCTTTTACGGGGCTGCCTTCTACTTGTACTTGCCCAAATAAAATAGCCATTGCCCCCTCCAAAGAAAAAGTTCAGTAAATCACTGTGATACAGGCTCCTTTATAAAATTTGAGGCATATACTCAATTGTACTACTGCTTTGTTGCTGTTGTTAACTGCCGTTGAGCCGGTTCCAACTCACAGCGACCCTGTATAGGGTTTCCGAGGAGCAGCTGGTGAGTTTGAACCACTGGCCTGTGGTTCAAAATAACCCTGTGGTCCAGTGTTTATCCTGCAGCACTACACTAGGACTCATGCACTACTGTTGTTGTTGTTGTTGTTGTTAAGTGCCATTGAGTCAGTTGTGACTCATAGCAACCCTGTATAGAGTTTCCGAGGAGCAGCTAATGGATTTGAATCATCGACCTTGCTGTCCAGTGCTTATCCTACAGTACCACAGCAGGACTGCCCTGGTGGGCTAGATGTTAATAATTTTCATGTACATTACTCTCCACCCCTTCACACCCTAGTTGATTTCTCTCTCAAATCTGGATACTTAGCTTTAGAATGTATGAATGCCTACCTCAGGACCCCAGAGGAGCTTGCTAGAGACTTAGATTTGAAGCAGTTTGTTTTACCACATTGCCTGTTAGTAGGGTATCCCTGTTGTTGTTGTTAAGTGCCATCGAGTCGGGTCCGACCCATAGCGACCCTGTACAGGGTTTCCGAGGGTGTAAATCCTTACGGGAGTAGAAAGCCTCATCTTTCTCCCGTCCCTAGATGGTGCAAATGGTTAATACTCTAAGTTGCTCACCAAATGGTTGAAGGTACTAGTCCACCCAGAGGTGCTCAGGAGAAAGGCCTGGTTGTCTACTTAAAATCAGCCGCTGAAATCCTCTGGAGTACAGTTGTACTCTGACACACATGGGCTCACCGTCAACTTCACAGCAACCAGTCACTGACCCTCTAGTGATTTCTGCTTTCCACCAATTTTAGGAAATGATTTTCAAGCCTTGGTTGCAGGGTTGATCTGGATGATCTTTCCAATCCTTACACTTCATGCCTGACATCCCACGTGCTCCTCTTACGTGGCCTGACCTTACTCCGATGCCCCACCTGGGAGGCAGAGAGAGACAACTGTGATCAAAAGGCAAGCTCCTGCATTGTCTCCAGGGGCTCCTGGTAGAGGAGAAACTGAAGATACACATCATTATCCCCACCAAGCTCTTACCACGTGAACACAGGTGACAGGTGCCTTACAGATGAACTGTGTTAGTTTCTACTTTGAAACTCCTGTCAGACCGCCCAGGCCAGGGATTGGCAAACTACATCACACAGGCCAGATCTGGCCTATCATTTTTTTTATCAGTAAAGTATGTAACTGCTATCATTCTACAGCAACAGAGACTGCATGATCCACAAAACCTAAAAAATTTATTCCCTGGCTCTTAACAGAACAAGTTTGCCAGCCCCTGAGCTAGCCCAGTGTTTAGATGGTGGCCGCTAAAATTCGTTTAGGTTTCAAATGCTGTACTGAATCTGTGTAAGTAGTGTTGCACATAATTTGCTCATTTTGAGTGAAGCTGAGTGGGAACTCTTAAAATAGAGGCACATTGGACTTTGTCACAAAGCAATGATCGAATGTTTTCAAGTAAAATAGAACAAGAAAAATGAAATATTCTTATTTCAAATAAATTAATCAGTATTCTCTTAGGGAATTCAGCTGCAGTGTTACTGACAGTTGAGCTATAACTGAAATGCCCAACCTGAGATAGACCTGGTTGCCCCAGGGAGAGGAGACTCATGACTAGAAGTGGGTGCAGGGGGAGTCTCCAAATTGGAAGGCATTTATAAGTGATATTACATCATGGGATTGCCATCAATGACTTGAAATAAATGTGTATGAATTGTTGGATGGAAAACTGATTTGCTTTGTAAAATTTCACCCAGTTCACAATAAAAATTCAAAAATAAAATAAAATTGGAATGCTTTTGTCCTGCTTTAGACTCCAAATCATTTCCCTCCAAATTAGATACTGCCCTCTTGTCAGAGTGGTAATAAGTGATGGTTCTATTTTTTCCAGGTTTTTAGACACTTCCAAACAAGCCATAGGAATGCTGTTCATCCACTTTGCAAATGTATACTTAGCAGATCTTACCGAAGAGGACCCTTGTTCTCTGTAAGTGCTCAGTTCTGAATGCAAACATCTCAATCACCAAACATTCCCACTCACCTGCCCCCTGTTGAGAACAGGAGTCAGCTCTGCATTGTTCTCAGGTCCTGCTTCCTCTAGTTCCCCTGTGCTTCTCTGAGAGGTTACCCCATGGGTGCAGCCCATGAGCTCCACTACACAACTACCTGTTGGCTCTTAGGACTTTACACAGTGACATTTGCTCTGTGCATTGGCTTCCTACTAGCCAACCTGAGTACTCTGGCTTTCTATCACCAGTATCCAAGCAACCTCTGGTAGGACAGGATGATGCCCTGAAGGGGTGCCTCTTTGCTAGAACAGGACACAACTCCTCTGTGGTGTTGCCCACTCAGGTTCAGAACCATTGCTGGCCTCTGTGATCTGAAAATCACCGAGTTGGTTTTCATGGGGAGTTCTGCCTTGTCCATTAAGTGTACCTTTGACACAACAATCTGTCTGAATCCCAGTTTGAGCCATAATATGCTGTCCTCTTTGCTCATAGCACTCATGACTCCTTCCTTGGTGAACTCACTGACAAAGGGACTCGCCTGCCTTGTTCTAGCTCCTGGGTGCCCCCAAACTCCTACCCCAACTGTCTCCTATCATTGTGCCTTTGCTCACACTGCCATCTATGTGTCTTGAGCATCGTCCAGCCCTGCTCCACCCTGCCCCTGAGGAAGAGCAAGGTGAAGGCTGATGAATTCCTTGTCAGGAACCTTGAGTGTGCATTCAGCATCACTGGGAATAAAAGATAACTTTTAAACTTCTGTTTTGGAGAAAAAGTTTACAGTTACAAGATTTATTCCACGCTCAGCTTTCAGAGGGAAGTTGTGAAGTCTCCTCCCCCAGGGTCTTCGTATAAGATCTAGATAGGTCAAGACGTATTTAGCTGGTTTGGGAAGAGTCCCCAACCTGGGGCACTGGAAGGGCAAATTCCTATATTGGAGATAGTTAGGAAAGGATCCTGTCCCTCAGACCCCTGCGCCCTGAGGCAAGATCATGCTGTCCTTTGAGGAATCATCTTGATGCCAGTATCTGAGACACCAGGGTGACCTAACTCCTGGTGCATCCATAACCACTTCACTTCCCCTTGTATGCACCTCCATCACCCATTTGCAACAGGGGGATGCAGGCCTTTAAGGAGGATGTTAGCAACCTGCATCACAGCGAGGATGGAGAGTTGTCTAGAAAATACATCACTTGGGGTTGTTGATAGCACTCAGGAGAAGAGGCCTGAGATGGAGCTGGTATAGTGAGAGCACACTCACCTGAGAGGCCCACCTGTGGGAAGACAGCTTCTCTGGGCCTCAGTTTTATCATGGACCCTATGTGCCCTGCCACACCCATGGATTACCATGAAAGCTTCAAGAAGATGAGTATAAATGCTTGCTGAAAACCAGAGAGGTTTTGAAGACATTACTGTAAATGAAGACATTACTAATCAGAAGATTATTTTTATTAAAACAGTGCAGGCGTGAAAATTCCAGCAGTTGCTTGAGAAGCTACTGAGTGGAAGACAGGGAATGCAGAGCTCCATAGTGTGGCATGGTCCCCGGCCATGTGGAAGAGCCAGTACTGGGCTGGGGTTCATTGCGGTCTCTCATGCTGGGCTTGCCCTGGAACTCTTCCCAGATAAGGAGTAGGGTAGGGGTTGGGCAGGACCTGGGGCATCTTGGGAGACTGCCGATCTAGAGGGGAAGCAGGTCCTAACTCAGGGAAAAGAGAAACAAACAGGAGTGAGCTGTTTGTACAGGGTAGGATCCTCTGTGCTAGGGATGCTGCTCTGGGATGGAATCAGCTTGTGTGACCTTAGGGACTAAGATTCTAACAACAGGAGACCTGATGGCACAGTGGTTAAAGCACTCGCCTGCATTTGAACCCATCAGCAGCCCTGCAGGAGATAGATGTGGCAGTCTGTTTCCATAAAGATGTACAGCCTTGGAAACCCTATGGTGTAACTTGATGGCAGTGAGTTTGCTATTTTGGTTTTGATCTTAACGCATTTGTGTGATGCTTACTAAGGGCCAGGCTTTGCTCTAAAAAGTTTACTTTTATTAACTCATTAATGCTTACACTAGCCTTGCAATAGATACTTTCATTATTCCTATTTTACAATTGGTGTAACTGAGGCACAGAGAGAGAGGTTATGTAACTTGTTTGCATTCACACAGCTGGGGAGTGATGGTGCAAGGATTCAAGCCCGGATAGTCTGGCTCCTGGGCCCATGTGGTGCTCAGCTTACCTGCCTGGCTAAACATGCTATGTTGAGACTCAGGATAGAGACCATAACTTTTTTTTTTGAATTCCCAGGGTCTGGCACAGAGCAGCCTCCATAAATAACTGGTATGTGAGTGAATAAACTAGCCCGTAAGGTGTCCTTGTTATTTTCAGGATAGGTCTCAGATGTGAGAGTCTCTGCAAACCAATTACATTTAAGTGCTTGGAAGCAGCATAGCCCAGGGCCAGAGATCTGCTGTAAGCTGGAGGGGAAACTGCTTTGGAGATGAGTGCTCTTTCTTCCATCTCTGGTCTGAGAATGACCCCTTGTGGTTTGAAGAGGGAAGGACAAGGCCCAAACTGTTGCATAGTGGTTATGAGTCAGACTGCTAACCTCAAGGTCAGCAGTTTGAAACTACCAGCCATTCCTTGAGAGAAAGATGAGGCTTTGCTCCCATAAAGATTTACAGCCTCGGTGGTGACCATGTTCATCACCGATAAGGAGAAGTGAGGGAAAAACAGCAATGAAGCTGCGAGCTAAGCCCTATAATGTTCAATAGACTCCTGTGAACCTGGGTGGAGACCTGGTTGGCCAGCAGGGTGGCAAGACCTGGGGACTCTTGGGCCCAGAGTCAATGACATAGCCACAGAGGACTAGAGTGGAAAATGAAGTGTCCAGCTGATAAGAAGAGAGGGCATATGCTCAAGAACCCCCACACTTGCAGATAATAACTACTTGACCTGGCTTCAATGACTGGATGGATGATTAGAGCTCAACTAGAAGAAAGAAAAGGAAAAAAAGAGTAATCTGATACAATTTGATGAACTTGACCTACACCTATGGATGCAGTAGCTCAAAAGAGGGAACAGATCTTTACAGCGAAGATCATTCCCACCCCCTCCATACACAGAGTAGACAGGGATGGGCAACTTGCACATTGGCTACCCAAAATGGGGGGGGCTACAAAAGCAAGAAGTGACTGGCTTACAAGCTTTCAAGAGGGAGCCTAGATCCAGAGGGCGTGGAGGAAGGTAGAATCTCCACTGAGTAGTATCCAATCTGTCTAGGTAGGACTGATGAAAGGAAATGGGGATAGGTCTCTTGTGATACAACAGTGAATAATTGTTATCAGGACTGATTGTGAGGGTTGGAAATGTAAAGGTAGACATTTTGTAGCAAGGAGGGGAGTGATTAACTTTGCAGTCTAGGAGCGGAGGTCCCTGGGACCATGAAGGGAGAAGAGCGTAGAGCGGGACCCTACCCAGAGAAGCAGTGATGCCAGAGATGGAGGCAGAGACGATGACGTGGAGAGATGGAGCAGCTGGAGACTTTACACCTAGAGATGGAGACAACCGGGAGATGGGGGAAGGGCAGGGGGCGGGGGGCAGGCTTGTAGGATATACCCTTTGGTTGGTTGATGATGCATGGAGGGGATTGTAACCATGGCAATGAAATGGTATATAATAGGATGAATGTAAAATTAATGTTCTCCCATGTAAACTATCACATAATTCACAATAAAACATTAAAAAATATGTATGTATTTACAGTCTCAGAAACCTATGCAGTGTTGCTATAAGTTGGAACCGACTCCATGGCACATAACCACCACCACCCCACATACACATACGTTTCCCCCTCACTACTGGTGCTTGTTTCTGCCAGACACCTGCCTCGCTGTCAGGTCACTGAGCAGAACTGGACCAGAGTACTGTGCATGTCCCCAGGGGCAGGGGGAAGGCTGAGAGTCTACAGAAAATGAGCCAGGTGTCACAGAGGGCCTGTGGTCTGTGGTGCTCAGCTAGATCTGGTGTCCTCACACATGGGCATCCAGAGCCATCCCTCAGGAGCAGGACCAGTCATGGTGTTAGGATGCTGTGCTGAGGGCACTGAAGAACACTCCCTCACCCTTATACTCACAGATGGCTGTACAACAACTTCTGCTGTCTGGCAGGTTTCTGGGTGCAGGGCCCTCGAGGGAGAGTAGGTAAAGGAAATTCAGGTTTTCTGTCAGACAAATGGAAACAGACCTTATAAAAACACTTTGTGTGCATTTTGTCCTGACCCTTCTCTTCTTTTCTTCCAGTTTTCCTGTCTTTAAACTGTAAAAGCATTTATGTGCACTTGAGCTGCGGCACTCTGAAGTTCCAGGGCACATGAGGCTCTGTGCCTCTGTCTTCTTTAGTGTGAGGAAGCCGAGACTGTTTTGGGCAGCGCTTTCCTGAACAGTGCTTTAGTGGAGCCCCGCTGTCAGGGAGTGCACAGAATTGATCGATTTTTTTTTTTTTCTCAAAGCAGTGGTGCTCTGTTTCCTATTGATTTCCTCCACTGTTCCAGGTACTGTGTCTTCTGTCAAATCTTCACTTGGCCAGAACAGTAGAGGTTCCTTAAGTTTTGTCCTTCCTCCACACTTCCTCAGAGTTGGTAAACCCTTGATGAGCATCATTGTGGGAAGCCTCTCACAGAGGTGCATCAGAGCTACCAGCCCCTAGAACAACCACATAAACTGCTGTGCCAGTCAGCTTCTCCTCAGCCCGTACCTACAGTAATCTTCACTCTTTCCCCTGGAGGCCTTCTTGACCATGTCACCGTGCCATCTCTTCTCAGGTACCTCATCAACTTTCTCCTGGATGCCACTGTGGGCATGCTGCTCATCTACGTGGGCGTGCGGGCCGTCAGTGTCTTGGTGGAGTGGCAGCAGTGGGAATCCTTGCGTTTTGGTGAATATGGTAATGACCGTACCATGGACCGTGGATGGTGGGGACCGCCTCTAGGGGAGGGGGACCTTTGTCTTTGTCCAGTGATGGCACTCCAGGGAAGGTTCAGAGCTGGTGGCTGTGTACTCCCTGGACCTGATCTCCATCTTCTCAGCAGTGTCACAGTGCCAGGGCCTGTGAGCACCGGCCTTCCTGCCACGGCCATCACTTAGGTGACAGGAGCCAGGACTCACCATCCATGCAGGGAAGTACTAAATGTGAGCCTCTGGCACCAGAAGGCAGTGGTAATCCCACCTGCAGGGGTGCATGGCTCCCCACTCTGCCAGCTTCCCACAAAGGTCTCGCAACCTGCCACACTTATTCAGAGATCAGGCAGCTCTTGGGTGGGGAGGGACCCTTTAGGGAGGTGACAAACTCTGCTGTCTTTCTGCTGATGCCTGGATCTGTCTTGTCACTGGACCACTCTGTCAGCAGAGGGTCAGCAGTGAAAGGCGCATTCCCTCCTGGGCCAGGTCACCCTGCTCTGCCTCCACACTGCAGGCTAGCCCTTATTCAATGAATGTATGTACCAGGCACCAGGCCTGAAGCAGGTGGTACCTCCCGTGGTGAACGAGCCTGAACAGGAAGCCTCTGTGTGACTGGCTCTGAGTGGGGATGCAGTCAGACACTTTTACGAAACTGAGTCAAAGATTATATGCACTCTGGCTGTATAATTTAATCAACTTTTAAAGAAAAGACAAATATTTTTCAACATAATTTCTCTGTATTTCAATCCACCTTGTCCATATGTCAATAAGCTTTCATATTTCCTTATTCAAAAATGTTTTAGGCTGAACTTTGAGCCACAAATGCACCACTCCCTGTCTTCACTTCTTCATCAGAGGTGAATCTTCATCCTCGAAGGGCTACTTTCAGGGGACCAAACAGGTGAAAGTCTAATGGAGCAAGAATAGGAATATAGGAAGAATGCTTTAACACCTCAAAATGAAGTTTTGTGGCGTGTCAGCAGTGTGGGCAGAGGTGTGCAGGCATGCATTGTCATACAAGATCACAACACCCTTGGATAGCTGTCTTCTGTGTTTAATCTGAAGTTGAGTCTTCAGCTCTTTAGTGAGCACTTCACTGCAATGAGCACTGTTAATTGTTTAACCTTTTTCCCTATAGTGTTTCAGTATTAGCCCTTGAGGATCCCAGAAAACTGTAAGCATGAATTTTCCAGCTGATGGTTGACTTTGAACTTATTTTGTCGGCAATTGAGGATGTTTCCATTCCATATTCTGCCATTTACTCTTGTGCTCATAGTGATGAATCATGTCTCATCACCAGTAGGGATTGTTTTAAAGATATTTTTACCTACCTTCAAATATCAGTTTAAATTTGTTTGCAGATGTCCAAATACTTCTGTTTATGCTCTTCCATGAGTTGTTTCAGTACCCGTCTCGCACAAACTTCTCGAAACCCAAGTCTGCTATGGATTATTTCATAGGCAGAGCCATGGCTGATTTGCAAATGATTTGCCACATAATCTGCTGTCACTCGTGTATTTGACAGAACCATTTCACATGCACACTCAATGTTGTCATCAGCCGTGGATGAGGATGGGTGTTTTAATGTAACCAGAATACAGATAACTTTTGACTCACCCTCGTACTTTGTACTCAGAGAGATGGTGGATGTGGCTTAGATGAGCCAGCTGGTAAGAGGTGCCTTCTTGGAGCATTGCTGTATCCAAGTACCCATGTGACTCAGGACCCAAGGCTAAGGGGTAATGTCAGCTCTTTCCCTGCCATCAGACCTTCACAGCAGGCCCCGGTGTCTGTCCATTGATGTGACACAGGAGCTGCTCCTCTCGATTGGAACCATGTTAATGGAGCATTTGTCATGAAAGGGGCACATGGAACAAGGGACAGCAGGGTGCAGGTGGAATCCTGATGTCCGCTCTCCTCTCCTGGTCATGCCTTCCAAGGACCACCCACTCCTAGATACTTTAGACTCATAAGGGACTTACACTTTACAGGAGGAGCCATTTGTAGAACCAACTGTGAGTGGTCTGGGTATTTCTGGAAATCCTAAGTACAGTACTTATTTGTCTCCAGTGAGAGGAGATGAGCTCAGGGATGGGCTTTTCTTAGCCTGGTTACCTGATGCCTGATGAGTCACTGACTTAAGATAGTGCCTGACACTCCTGAAGCCTCAGGGAAGGCATGTGAGAAGCAATAATTCATTGATTCCTAACTTGGAGGGCTGCAATGAACAGTCTATAAATGTCCTCATTTATAGAATAGGTACCCAGAGATATTAAATGGCACAGGAAGGTCACCCAGCTTCTGTATGGTGGGGCTCCCACACCTACTACGTTGGTGTGTACCTAATTCCTCTCACCACTCAAAGAATAGTGCTCAACATTACAAAACTTCTAAAACTAGATGGTACCCAGCTACCACTACTGAATGTTCTGATCATGGCACAACATATGAATCCTGATAGAAAGAAAAATGTGAAATAGAACTTCAGCTTCTTAAAGAGTCCAGACTTACTAGACTTACTGAGGTAGAAGAAGCCCTAAGACTATGGCCTAGTTAATCTTTAAATTTTTAATAAAAACTATCCCCTAAAATCACCTTTCAGCTAAATAACAGGCTAGCTCAAGAAATAAAGATTGTCACCCTTGAGTATTGTGCCCTTTTTAAAAAAAGAAAATGACCTATATGATGCCAAACTGTCAGCAGCTATTTTAAAACACAGATGAAAAGAGGTGGTAGAGGGCAAGGAGTTTAAATCAATGGGAGTAAAACAATGAGAACAGAAATAACAAGACCAATGACACATAGGAAGAATGTAATCAGTGTCACTGATCATTACATCTAGGAACTGGAATGGCACTGAGCTTTGCTATGTAGATTTTCACCAAAAATATTTTTTCAAAAAAGAAGCTTCTAGAAGACAGAACTCTCTACTGAACTATAGCTGAACAGTGCTAAGGCATATCCAGTTACTGCTGCTCAGTGTCTGGGAATGGAGATCAGGAGTAGTGCTGACACAGCAGACATTATGGCACTACCTGTTGCTCCAAGGTTAGTTGAAAAAAAACAATGTAATGATCGAGCCTTCTGTCTCCATGCTACCATACTCACCCACTTGGCCTGCCTCAACCTTGGTCCTCAAGTCATCCTACCACTGCCTTTGGGTGTCTGTGTCTTAAAGCCTGGTGTCTTCAGGTAAAGCTGCCCTTCCTGAGACCACTTAGTCTTCCCCAGGCAAAGGAAGACCTATGCCCCTGGTCATCTGCTGTATTAGTTGTCCTGTGCGTCTTTAACAAATTAACACTAGGTCATTGGCTGAAAGCAACACAAACTATCTTACAGTTCTGTAGCTCAGAATTCTAACATGGGTCTCACTGAGCTAAAATCCAGCTGTTAGCAGGCTGATTCATTTCTGGAGGCTCAGGGAAGAGTAATTTCTTTGCCCTTTCTAGCTAGTAGAAGTCACATGCCTTCCATGGTACCTGACTCTTTTTCTCCCCTTTCAAAGCCAGAAACATCAGTGGAGTTTGAATCACTTCAGCCTTCCACCTCCCTCTTCCACTTTTAACCAGGGCTTTGTACTACTAAATCAGAATCTATAGTTTAACAATATCCCCAGGTTACTCGGAGATCTTGATAAACTGTAGATTCTGATTTAGTGTATCTAAGGTGGAAAGGCAAATTCTCAGCACAAGGTTGAACTAGAATGAACTGATTTGAAACCTTGCATGTAACTAACATATTCACTAGTTCTGGAAATTAGAGTGTGAACATCTCTGGAGGAACCTTTGTTCTGCCTGCCACACCTGTTAACCAGCTCATCCAATTGGGGAAGTATTTGATGTCTTAGATATCTAGTACTGCTAAACCAGAAATAACCAAATTTATTCTCTCACAGTTAAGGAGGCTAGAAGTCTAATTTCAGAACTTTTAGGGCAGGGGTGGGCCAGCCTGCAGGCCATATAAGGCTCTCAGAGCCATTTGGTCTGGACCTGCCAAGGCAACCGCAGTTCCACATTTGTTGTTAAGTGCCGTCAAGTCGATTCCCACCCATAGTGACCCTGTATAGCGTTTCCAAGGAGCAGCTGGTGGCTTGAACCACCAGCCTTGTAATACAAACAACTTTGCAGTCTGATGCATTAGCCCACAGCACCACATCAGGACTCCACATTAGGGGTGAGTTAATTACATGTTTTACCCAGTAGAGCAGGCTAATTTTTAAGGTGATAATTTTTTATGGCCCATGAATAATGTTATAACATCCTTTTAGAAGAAAAGTAGTTTCCCATCCTTACTGTAGGGGGAGGCTTTCTCTGTCAACTCTTGTGGAAGATCCTTGCCTCTTCAGTTTCTGTTTTCTGATTCTTTGGAGATCTCGGTGTGGCTTGGTATCAATCTTCCCCTATCTCTGCTTCTCTGGCTTGCTTATTTTATCTTGCTTAAATCTTAAAAGAGATTGACTCAAGACACACCCTACACTAATCCTGCCTCATTCACACAGCAGAGACAACCCATTCCTACATGGGATTGTAACCATGGGCATAGAGGCTAGGATTTACAACACATATTTTGGGGAGAAAATTCCATCTATAACTTTCCTCCCTTTGGGTCCCCAAAGTCATGTCATTGCCACATGTTAAACATCTATTACATCATCCCAAACATCTTAAATCAACTCCAAATCCAAAATCTAATCTTCTGAATCATCTAAATGAACTAAAGTGGAGACTTTAGGCATATCCCATCTGGGACAAGATTCCTCTTCATCAGTGAACCTGTGGAATCTAGAATACAATTTTTTTGTTTCCAAAGTATAGTGGTGGTATAGGCATTTCCATTATAAATGGTGGAAGTTGGAGGGAAAGAAAGGATTATAGCAGCAAATACAAAACCCAGCAAAACAAGTTACATTAGCTTTCAAGGCTGAAAAGTAATCCTGATGAGACCATCTGGACTCTGGTGTTGGCTATGCCCTCTGGATTGTGGGTAGAAGCCCCTCGACTTTGGACGGCTTCATTTTCCTCCATCTGAGTGGCAGCCCCACTCCCATAACTCGTTAACAGGCACTGTTTTTTCCCGTTGGTCATGGCCCTAATGGTACACCTTAATGGTAGCTTCACACTCTGGAACTGAGTTGGTGAAAATTTGTCTCTTTGAAATTTAGGAGGCTATGGCCCCACCCATTGAGATCCAGGACACTGTGGCCCCACCCTTTGAAATCAAGAATGTCTTCTTTACTATGCTCTTTCAATAGTTCTACTGCCTGTTTCTTGCCGATAGAATTCCAAGAGGCAAACAGTGTTCTTTCATTCTGGCTCTAACCCTTTCAATCTAAAATGATGGATTTTCTGCTGTGATAGCTTGATCCATCCAGTCACAGATTGAATTTCTTTAACAAAAGATTCTATGACCATGTCTTTGGTGAACATTCTAAGAAATGTTTGTACAACAGAATTGTCTAGATCTTTTTTTTTTTTTCATTTTGCACAGTTCACTTTTAAGTCCATCTCTTTCTTCTCAAGTTTTACTATATTAGCAAGGAGAAAACAGGTAGCACCAAACATTTGGACATAATTCAGGCAAGTTTTTTGCCACTGCATAAAATGCTTTATTCTTCTTCCATTGTCCAACTACACGTTCATCATTTGTTTTTAAAACCTCACCATAAACACATTTAACGTCCACATTTCTAGCACCAGTCTGCTGCTAGTACCACATACATTCTCTAAAACAATAGAAACTTTCTTTTGAGCCCTCACCAGAATTACCTCTGACGTCCATAATTTTACCAACAATCTCTTCAAGGCAATCTAGGCTTTTACTAGTAGCCACCTTACAATCTTCCAGCCTCTACCCCATTACCCAATTCCAAAATTACTTCCACATTTTAGATACTTGTTAAGTGCTGTCATGTCAGTTCAGACTCATAGTGACTGTATAGGGTTTCTGAGGCTTTACATCTTCATGGGAGCAGAAAGCCTCAGCTTACTGCTACAGAGCAGCTGGAGGGCTTAAACTGTGGACCTTGTGGTTTACAGTCCAGTTTAAATCCACCACCCTCCTTTTGGGTACTTTGTTTTGTTTTTAAGTGTTATTGAGTCAGTTCCAACTCATAGTGACCCTGTATAGGGTTTCCAAGAAGCAGCTAGTGATTTTGAACTCTGTAACCTTATGGTTCAAACTGACCTGTGGTCCAGTGCTTTAGTCCATAGTGCAACACCAGGACTCCTTTTAGGTACTATTGTCGTTGTTAAGTGCTGTGCAGTCGGTTCTGACTCATAAAGACTTTGTATAGGATTTCTAAGGAGTGGCTGGTGAGCTTGAACCACCAACTTAGTAGTTCAAACTGACCTTGCCGTCCAGTGCATTAACCCACAGCACCACACCAGGACTCCTAGGAATAATCAAAAAGTTCATGGAAAAATTTGATTCCATTTTTGCATGAACTTTTTAAAAGTTTTTCTTATGAGCTGAGTGATAGTTTACATGGGAGAACATCGGCTTTACACCAACATTTCATTGCAATGATTATAATCTCTGTGCACCAGTATTTGCTTTCATTCCCTCTTGTTTTTTTGGGGGGAGGTGGAGAGGATGTGCACAAAACCACTCAGAAATATATAATAATTTAAATAACCAAAGGGCACATTCTACAAGCCTGGCTCCTGACCACCAATACCCAGTCCCTCTTTTTCCATTGCATGAACTTTTTGAAGCTCCCTTTTATCTGTTTGAGCACCACCTCACTTTTCTGGTACTCAATTCTGTCTTAGTTACCTAGTGTGGCTATAACAGGAATGCCACAAGTGGAAGGTTTTAACAAACAAATGAATTTTCTCCCAGTTTTGGAGGCTTGGAAGTCCCTTTTCTGTCTAGAGGAAGGCCTTTCCTGTCAGGTCTGGGGAAAGGCCCTTCCTTATCTTCTGGTTCCTTGTTCCTTGGTGATCTCCATGTGTCTTAGCATCAGTCTTTCCCCATTCTGCTTTTTTACTTGCTTATTAAATCGCTGTTATAGCTCAAAAAAGAGATTGACTCAAGACACATACTACATTAACTCTGCCTCATTCATATGATAAAGATAACCCATTCCCAAACAGGAATATAACCACAAATATGGAGACTAGGATCTACAGGACAATTTGATCTATAATAGTCCCAAAGCTCTCTCTTCAGGTAAGTGAAGAAAGAGATTTTGTTTTCTAGGTCTCTGCCTTTGTTCCTGGAGTTCTGGTGTGGTGCTGTAGGATTAGCACTGGATACCTAACTGCAAGGTCGGCAGTTCAAACTTACCAGCTGCTTCTTGGAATCCCTTTACAAGGTTTGCTATGAGTCAGAACTGACATGACACACTTAACAACAACCACCACCACCTCTCTTCCTAGAGGAGAAGATCATGAACTTGCTAACAACAGCATGGGACTTAGGGTGATAAGTCACACAGCCCTAGAGGGAAAGATAGGATTCAGGCTATATGTAATATCTACAGTCTTGTGACCTGTCTGCTTTTTCCTACACAGAAGCCTTGGAAACAAAAGTCTGTGTCCCATGCAAGGAACCCTGGTAGAGCAATGGTTAAGTGTTCATCTATTAACTGGAAGAGTGATAGTTCAAATCTACCCAACGGCTCCATGGGATAAAGACATGAAGATACGTTTTTGTAAAGATTGCTGTTGTTAGGTCCCATTGAGTCAATTCCAAATCATCGCAACCCCATGTACAACCGAAGGAAAGTGCATGGTCCTGGGACATCTTCACAATCATTCTTACATTTGAACCTATTGTAGCCATTCTGTCAGTGCATCTCATTGTGGATCTTGCTCTTTTTCGCTGATCTTCTACTTCACCAAGCATGATAGCCTTAGACACCCTAGAAGAGGCAATTCTTTTCTGTCCTGTAGGTCAACGACCCACAACATATCCCACACAATGGTTTGTGGGCTTTGGTTCTCCTGCTTTCCAAATGCTCCTTCCAGTAGCCTTGTTCCCTCTTCTTTTGTACCTTTTCCTGCCATTTCCCTTGAGAGAGTAATTCAGCAACAACCAAACACTCCCATACTTATTGTTGGTAGTACGTGTAGCATCTACCTTCCAGACACTCCCATACCTGAGTCTGCCCATCAGTACAGTAAAAAAGCAGGGCATGAAGAGAATGCACCATGCCTGTCCTAAGTCTTAAGACTGCAGGGAATGTCTGGACATTGAGATGAAATAGAAGTCAGGCAACAAGTTAGTTGCAGCCATGGTTGTGTATACAAAAAAGGAAATGGTGTGCCTGAGGTTTACTGATAAGGCTTTTCTTTTTCACCATGTTTTTAAACTTTTTATTATAGCATCTAAATTTAAAAAAAAGAGACGTGTAGAGCAGAAACTTACAGCAGTTTGAGAGGCTACATGAGACAGATGGGAGGGAAACATTTTCCTCATTATCAGTTACTTAAAACTTAAGGAATGGACTTAAGTACACTCTGAGCAAGTTTATTTTATTTTGCTATTAAATACACATTGCTACTTGTTCTGTTGACTTTAGAACACACCAGTTCTGATTCAGAGATACTTCCTGGTAGTGCTTCGTGTCTGACTGTCCCCAGTCTTCCTTAAATATTTTGATCTGTTGTTGTTGAGAACTTCCCTCAATAAGGTCAGGTGGCTTACTGGAAGAATTTCAAGACTCCAGTAAAAACTAGCTAACAGGAATTGTACTGAAATGTGTGTGTGTGTGTGTGTGTGTGTGTGTGTGTGTTCTGGCTCAAATGTTACCCCCAAAGTAAAATTAGACAATAAGACCTCAGCGAGGCAATGGATATCTTTCCACATGCTTTCTGCCACACTTCTCTTGGTGGTTTTCCACAAAAGGGAATGGCCTAGTGCTTTGTCCATTACAGCTGCATAAAAGCATTCTCTTGCACATCCACTGTGTACAACTGGCAGGCTCAGGCAGGGACAGGGGCCTCCGGCAAGGATGTCTGGAAAAGGATTGTTACATAAATGATAGAAGCCAATGAGCAATGGGAGATTTCTGTTTATCACAGCTTAGAGTGGGGCTTCGCCTCCCCTGAAATGTCACCCCTACCCCCTCTTCTCACAGCTCTATGACAACCCCTGGTGGCCTCCCCATCTCCACTCCAACTGTGCAGAGTCTCCCACTTTAGAGAGACATGTATAGCTCCCCAGAGGCCTACTTGCTCTGCCCATCACAGAGGATGTAGATCATTCCCTGGTACTCCCCCGTCATCAAATCCCTTTGGGACATTTTGGAAGTGCTCTAAGGACTGAGTGTCCCCTAACATGAGTTGTTGGATCCCTCTTTTTCTGAAGCATGATGCCTGGTAGAATGACAGACAGGCCTTTGTCATTTCTGCTGCCTGCCCTGAAGTCTTGTCTCTGTTCTCTCCAGCCAGGGCATTTTTGGGTAATTCATTTTAGGTACTTCATATCTGAATTCCTCCAAAGTCAGATTTCTGCTGGGAAGTGGGGACGGGGTGGGAGGCAGAAAGGTGGGGCATGAACATAGAGATCAGTTGCTGCCTTCGAAACTCCAAGGGTAGATAGTACCAGAGTCTGGAAAAATCAACAACAGATAATAATAGCATATTGCCTAACACAGTTTCTGCTGCCAGCGGGACAGTAAGAGCCAGCTTTTCTGAGCTCCAGCAATGGGCACATGCTAACTTTAGTCCTTTAGAATTATATTTTCAAATCTCCTCAGAGAAAATGAAGAAAGGCCACTTTGGTATTCTCCAAATTAGGAATTCTCTGACTAGTGCTATATAAAAACACCGTCGTATGTCTGTTAAGGATTAAGTGAATTTTAACACTTTGAGGGAGCTCTTTAAGTACTTTTAGAGCCAGGGTTTGGTGCGTGGGAGGGGGGAGGGGGCCTTGCCAAACCCTGAACCCCTGTATGACTAAGCATCTGCCTGTTCCTGCAGGAGACCCTCTGCAGTGTGGAGCCTGGGTTGGGCAGTGTGCCCTTTACATCGTGATCATGATTTTTGAAAAATCCGTTGTCTTCATCGTCCTCCTAATACTTCAGTGGAAAAAGGTTTGTCTCTGTTACCCAGCCCAAGCATCATCTAGAGAAGCTAAGCAAGATAGTGCTTCTTCCCTAGCATCCTTTCTCACTGCCACCCTATTGGAAAACCAAATCTGTTTGTATTTTTAAAACCTCTTGAGTGTACCCTGGATTTGGTCTGGTATGGCAGCTCCTGACTGACTTTCAAGAGCATTAGCTTGTCATTCTTTTACTTAGCACACATTCACTTTATTTATACAAATGTCTGCTAGAGATTACTACCTTTAGCTGCCTTGAAAAGCCTTGGGATATAGTCAGCTGATAAAAATGCAGGCTTGCCTTGGGGTGGTTTTCTGTCTGATACTTGTTTCCAAGCCTTGCTTCTGTGTCAGGAGGTATTTTCTACATTCACAAACACTGTTCACCGTCCTTGGTCCATGACCACCACTGTGATGGCTCCCTGAGAAACTACAGATTCCCCAAGTACTGTGCAGTTACCCACTTTTACTGCTTATTTCCAGGGATACCCACAGGAAACCAGCTTCAGCACCTCCGGGAATAACCAACTCGAATATTGGCTTCCCTTTGATTTTATTTATGTATTCCTTACTTTTTAAGACAGTATGAGCTGTTGTCCTTCATGAGATGGAGGACAGATCTCTGTAGGAAGTGGTCTGGCCTCGCTGATAGTGTGTATGGTGATTGCCCACTGACCATGTGCCCCAACTGCCTAAATGAACATACCCCTGTGGACTGTAGGCCGCATTCCACCCTCCTTGAATCTGAGGTGTAAGTCCACAGTGAGGGTAAAACTGCCCAGATCAGTCAGCGTGGTCTCCAGGGGAAGAGGGTCCTCCTTAACTCACATCTGTATAGCCTGTTTCCATCAGCGTTCTAAAGGGGTATCTAAGCTGAGCTCCCCTCTTGGGGCCTCATGGGCCAGGCCACTCCACCACGGTGCCTCATACATTTTCTCCGTGGGCTCCTTCCAGCTCACTGAGTCTGCTTCTCTTTACAGGTGTCCCTACTGAATCCCATTGAAAACCCAGACCTGAAACTGGCCATCGTCATGCTGATCGTCCCCTTCTTTGTCAATGTCAGTGCCATGTTGCATTTTGTACCCCGGTTTGCTCCCTTCTTCCCAGGGCTCCTGTTCAAAGTTCTGAATCTAACAAGAGAATGCTCACCTTGTAGTCCTCAGGTCGTTAACAGCTGTTTCTGTGCCCCCTACTACCTTCTCCCCCTGCTTGGAATGACAGGATTGCTTCCTTGGAAGGAAGACCCCACTCTAGGGCCCCGACATAAGGTGAAAGATTCTGGACGTGTCATCTTATTCTCCCAGCCAGGAGTCAGTCCTTTGCTGAGGGATCCTACCCTGGTGTTAAGCCAACTTCTAGAGCAGGCCCTGTGAATTCCGAACAACAGTTGGCAATGACTAGAATTAGGAAACAGAGAGAGGAAATGGTGAAAGAACTGAGGCAAACAGATGATGACAGAGTGTGGCAGCTACCTCAAGGAGTCCATGGGGGCACCCTAACCAGGTGTCCAGAGAACTTGGTCCCAGGCCAGCTCTGCCACCTGCTAGGGAAAGGTCAAGGTAGGCTGCCCCCCTCATTTCTCCTCCAAAGCCCATCAGGTGAATTGTGTGCCATCATGCTGAGTCCAACTCATAGCAGCCTTGTGGAACAGCGGGGAGCTGCTCCACAGAGTGTCCGAGACTATAATCATTACAGAAGCAAACCACCAGGTCTTTTCTCTTGTGGGGCAGTTGGTGAGTTTGAACCGCCAACCTTCAGACAGCAGCCAAGTACTTTGCCATTGTGCTACCTTTCTTGCATGTACAGGGCAGGGATTGTTTTGCCAGTTCTATACTAAGAAAGCTGCAGCAAAGGAAATGGAGCTAGGGAATGCCTTTCTAAGTTTCAAGGACTTTCAAGGCTACTTGATGGGGATTTTCTTTCCAATGTTCTGGATTTTACAGTCTGGAGGGGAAGATGGGCAACAACACTGGGGCTGGGCTGCTCTGCTCTGCTGCATGGCTTCTACCAGAATAGCTCTTGCTGCTTCTTCCCACAGGCATTGATGTTTTGGGTGGTAGACAATTTCCTCATGAGAAAGGGGAAGACGAAAGCTAAACTAGAAGAAAGGGGAGCCAATCAGGACTCGAGGAATGGGAGCAAGGTTCGCTACCGAAGGGCCGCATCCCATGAGGAGTCCGAGTCTGAGGTAAGGGTCCTTTGTCCGCGGGCTGAGCTCTCATACTGGCTGACCCGCGAAATCTCTGGTCCCGTGTTTGCATATACCGTCTTTTCTCTGTAGTTCTGGGTCACAATGCTAGCCAGGGAAGGGAGAAGAGACTGAGCCCAAGAGTGACCCAGGTCATAGCTTCCAGCTGAGCCAGGGATTTTGGGTACCTATTCCCACTGTTCCCCAGGCCTCCCAAGGACTGAAAGATCAAGAACCTGGTAGAGCTTGCTTCCCTATAATAGCTTCTCAGCCAATGGAGAAAATAGCAGCTGCCTTGTTCCAGGACAGATGGCAGGAATCCTCATGGTGGTTATGTGCCATGGAATTACTTCTGATTCAGAGACGCTGCATAGGTTTCCAAGGCTGTAAATCTTTACAGGAGCAGAAAGCCTCATCTTTCTCCCATGGAACAAGCTGGTAGTTTTGAACTTCTCACCTTGAGGCTAGCAGCCTATTTGTAACCACTACACTACCAGAGCTCTTTAGAGATCCTAATAGTTTACCTTTAAGTAGTAAGACTTTTGAATCCCTGTCCTCCACAAAAGAGCAAGGGACGGGATTGATGAAAGAAGATGGGGATAGGACTCTTGTGGACTCTTGTGATACAATAGTGAATAATTGCTATCAGAACTGACTGTGAGGGTTGGAAATGTAAAGGTAGATGTTTTGTAGCAAAAGGAGGGGAGTGGTTGATTTTGCAGTCTAGGAGCAGAGGTCCCTGGGACCATCAAAGGAGAAGAGCAGAGTGTGGGACCCTACCCAGAGAAACAGTGATGCCAGAGATGAAGGCAGCGATGATGACATGGAGAGATGGAGCAGCTGGGGACTTTAGACACAGAGAGGGAGAGGGGCTGTGTGCTGATAACTGAGGGGCAGGCTTGTGGGGTATACCCTTTGGTTGTTTGATGATGCATGGAGGGGATTGTAACCATGACAGTGAAACAATATATGATAGGATGAATATAAAGCTAATGTTCTCCCATGGAAACTATCACATAATTCACAATGAAACATTAAAAAAAAAAAAGAGCAAGGGACTGATGGCAAAGACAGCTAGAAACTTTTAAAATAGAAGTATAGCAGGACCGCATAGAAAGAACCTCATCTCCCTTATTTCTAGTCTCCTAAGTTCAAAGGTTTGTACTTCATTGAGACTAGAGGTCATAGTAGAAGATTAGAGGCAAGGAGCTGGGTTCTAGGCAGCCTGCAACACTCTGTGGTGCTGGTAGTGAGACCAGCTGCCTCACACATTAGTATTGTGGAGCACTGAGCACAATGCTGGCTGCAGACTGGGCTTTCCCCTTCATGGCCTCAGGCCACAGCTCCCCATTGAGAATGCTCAGATGGGGCTTCAGTTCTAGCAGACAGTGGGCAGACAACAAAGAGCACCAGCAGAGAAGGGGGGCATCTGTTGACTCAGTGCTGGTTTTCAGCCACTTAGAATGCACTGGGAGTAAGAGTCTGTTCTATAAAGGGAACCTCCTCAAGGGGTTGGCAGCACTGTGCTAGGGACCCAGGGAGGGCAACTGAGGAAGGCTTTGCCAGCAGTGACTCAGCACCATGCCTCTCCACTGCCTCAGATCCTGATCTCGGCTGATGATGAGATGGAGGAGTCTGACATGGATGAGGACCTCCGCAGACTGACACCCTTAAAGCCTGTGAAGAAAAAGAAGCATCGCTTCGGACTACCCGTATGACACATTCCCCTGCTGGGGATGACAGGGGTGAGGCCCAGCCAGCCGCTTGGCCAGCAGATAGATGGTCATTCCACAGCGTCCTCCTCCCTTCTCTCTCTGCCCTCTCCTCTTCTACCTCCACTCCTCTCACTGTCTCTGCCCACTCTTCCTGCTCTCAGACTACTGTGACTTAACAGAGGGGTGACCAACCAGTGCCCAAGGGGGCTGTGGGCAGTCAGAGGTCCCTGATTCAGTTGCACTACAAACACTGACCAAATATGCAAGCGAGGAGTTTTGTTTGTTGTTGTCCTGAACCATTGTTGTGAGGGACTGAGGGCCCTTGTTCTGTGTCTGACTGGTTGTCATTGTGGAAGAACACGCCAGTGAGCACACAGTGATTGACGTGTCCTTCACCAAGGCTACAGGGAGGATGCCAATGAGACACATTTTGGGATGAGTCACTCATTGACCAAGTTGGAACCAGTATGCTTTCTTATTCAAAATGGCTTTTGTAACTCTTGATTTCTAAAGTCGGTTTTATGAGCTGTCACAGTGTTAATGTTTTTTGAGTATGTGTTGATTTCCTACAAAGTACCTATGGGACTAATGGGCAAAACCTAGATTTTTAAGTCTTCCGTATGTTCTTTGACTTTTATATTTTTAAGTTATATTTTCATACTATTGTATTTAAAAAGCTCTTTCTAATCCCCAAAGAAATGGGTTTGTCTGCCTTCCATAAGGTCTGAACTGGTGAGAGATAAAAAAGTCAGGAGTTTTTTTAAAAGTTTGGAATATTATTAGGGAAGGTGAGGTGAATGATCCCAGTAGGAAGGGTAATGGACTGTGACCAGAAACCAGTAAGCCCATTGGTTCTCTGAGGGTCAGGTGTGAGCAGGGTGTGCTGTTCTGAGAGAGGTCTGGGTGCCTGGTGTGTGGGAAACCAGAAGGGCTCTCCCTGGGCCCATAAGCTGTTTGACATTTCTGCTGTCAAAGTTAGAGGTATTAGTCTTTGTAAGTTAAATTAGCCAGAACAGATCCAAAGAGGTCTTTTTATCCAGAGAAACTGAGACTTCCAGGCTACCCCTGTGTGTCCCTTGCCTCTCTTCAGACCCTCCAAGTGTCACTTAAAACACAGACTCAGTGTCCTTGCCTCCCACTGCTGCCCTCCTCACCCTGTAGTGGGGCCGATCACTTCAGTGACTCACTGTGTAGACTGGAGAATTCCAGTCTGAGCAAGTGATCCTGCTCATCACATCTTCCAAAGCTGTAGCAGGCTGGGGCTGGGATACTTCAAGGCTGGTGTCCCCTCCTGGGATTAGCCACAGTCCTCAGCGAGGGCACAGGCCCTTGTTTTGGGAATTTGCTGCTCAGCATTCGGATGTGCAGCAGCTGACTAAAGTACCTATTCCCACTCTGGAGCTTTGTGCAAGGTGAAACAGCCAGGTTTGTCATGGCCAAGCAGCACTATGGACACTTAGGAACAAAACTGATAGGCACTGTAAACGAGTGTGACAGGAGCAGGGGAAGGCACTCAGAACTTTCTTCTTAGACATCCATAGAAACATGCTTTACATGCATAAGGCACTGTGGCCACCTGTTAAACCCAGCACCCTGGGACTGTCCTTTGCTACTCTAGCGGTCCCTGGACACACAGCATGCCTTGAGAGACAAAGCACATCATCCCCCAGGATCTAAAAGCTAGAGGCTGAGAGGAGCTGTGACTTACAACTATGCAATTAGAGGTGGCTCTGCCTGGATGGGCGTCTGTGTGGCCAGAGAGAAGAGACCAGGTGTCAGTGGCACGAGAGATGGAATCCATCACTCACTCACCCACCCCCATCCTATGGCTGTGTCACTCACTGGGTCTTTTCCTGCCAGTTCTCTAGTCAAGAAGATTGGCCAGAGCTGAGTTCCATTTGGGAAGACCAGAGCTGACGTGTGGGTAAGGCAGTCAGTCGGTCCTGGCATCACTCCCCTCCCATCTTCTCCCTCCTGTGCCCACAGCTATTTCTTCTTCCACCTTCCTAGAACTCAGAATTGGAGCTTCTTTTTCAGTCTGAGTTCCTAACATTTCCAAACTGGAGAAAGGAGGAGTTGGGGGGAAGGAGTCATAATCTGTGAAAGATAGAAACACAAGACTTGTTCCAGCTCCACCAAGCAGTGGTTTGGGGGACAAAGAGGTAGCAAGAGAGTAATGCATTTTTCATGTATCCTGATTTTCAGTAAGGGCTTTAGTGTCTGCACTGTATGGAGCCATAACTAGGGGATAGACATCTTACAGGTGGTCAGATCATGTAGGACTTCGATGTGTGGGCTTGGACAGCATGGCTTCCTCCCAAGTGTTCTTCTACACACCTGCACACACCACTCACATGCCAAGTGACTAGGGGTTTTTCTGTGGTGCACTGCCCCAAGAGAGATGACTGCCGGGGCCCGTGGCCAGGACTCCCTCTCAAGCTGCCTTCCCTCACTGGAATCAGTTTTCTCACTCCTGCTCCGAGGTGCCTTACAAGGTGCAGCTCTTCATTTGGCCAGATGGCTGGACCAGATAGCCTGAGGCAGGCGTCTCCTCATTTGAGGAACAGCATGACACCAACTGGATATAGTGTGCTATCAATCAGATTTATCCAAATTTAGGCCTTGGTCAAGCCTCTCATGATGACAACTGCCAGCCAAGGGCAAGAAGCAACTTCTGTCTAATGGAAATCATTCAGTGCATAGCATCATTCCATCAAATAGAAGAGATCATTGTTGCTGTCAGTGGGATTTTGACAAAAGCAAGGAGGGACATCAGTGAAAGCCCAGATGATAGTGGATTTGTGGTCCCTTCAGGCTGAAGATGTGCGTGTTGAAAGTCTGTGGCCAGTCAGCCCTCTGGGCACACTGGTGGCCGCCTGCCTGGAGCTGTAACTTGTGCATCTGCCTGACATTCTGCCACAGGGAGTCTTGGTTAATAGCAACTTGCCATGCCTCTTCAGGGAGAGCACGTAAAGACTCAGCTCTAACCTCTGCCCTCCTTTAGGCAGTGGATATGTGCCTGCCGCAGCCAGGCCAGCAGTGGCACTAAGAGGACTGCCGCGGGCCAGAGCAGCCAACACAGAGGATGCAGGCAGGCTCTTAGAAGAAACCTCCCTGCTTCCAGCTGACAACAGTGCACTGTTGAACTCTGCAAAACGCCAGCCACTCCAAGGGCCTTTTTTGGTGAGGGACTGTCTTGGAATGAACACCTTAAGCTCCCGGGTTGGTTGGTTCTAATTTGATTTTCTTTTCATGATGTTGATGACAAGTTAGACCTATGTGAGCAAAACCATGGTCTGCTTCTGGCTGCCATCCCGGTGCTGGTGTTTAATTAGTGGTGTTAAAATTCACAAAAACAAATTAGAAAAGGAAGGGAAGATGGTGTATTCACATTGTAAAATGGTTTACAATAAAGTGTGACATCTGATTACAGATTTTTTTTAAAGAAAAAGAAACCTCACTTTTTTGGTTTTGTGTTCTCTGGAGTTAAAACTGCTAAAAGGTAAAAATAAAAAGTCCCTGAGTGTGTTAGAAGACTCCTCCAGGGAAAAGAGCTCTGCGGAGGGAAAAGGAACAAACTTGCCATGTCCTCTTCTTCCTTCACCACCTGAAGAATGGTTGTGTCGGGGGGTCAGGTGGCAGGAGGGCAAATGTCTCCAATGCAGACGAGCTGTGGGGACAGTGCTGAGGCATTAGGAACCCCCATGGTAGCACCCCTGAGCCCTCTGTCATCCCTGCCCCTACCCACAAAGCCTGGCCTGCCCTCAGTTCTTGGCCCCTGGTCTGAGTCCCAGGGTTTGTGCCATGCTGTCCATGGGCATTCCTCACATCAGCACTGTCTCAGATTGAGCCTGGCAGTCCTCTCATTGGCTTCTGGGGGCTGTACCCAGAAGGGGGCATTGGGTGGGGTTTGAAGTATGACAGCAGAGGAGTAGCATTTTGTATAACCAAATGTCAGTACCCATTTAGGTTCCGTCTGCCTGGAGCCTTCCAGGATAAAAATAATCTTCATCACAAATGAAAAAGAACCTGGATATGTCTGAACTATTAAGGAGGGCCCTGATCTGCCTGTATCCACTCCCCACATCCTCTCTGGTCTTAAGGGCTTGTGAAAGGGAGGAAAGTCTTCCCTTGTGGTGATGGGAACATAGGGAGCCTCTATTTTAAGACCGTTTAGTGACCTCTCAGGGGAGGCCTGGGTCTGTCCATCCCTTTATAGCTCAATACCTGGAATGGGCTGTTAGATCCTGTGTTGGCTTTCAGAAATTTAAACTGCCAGCCAGGCCTATCCCGTGGCCTCAGGGCCGCCAGGCCCCATGCCACTCCACCTTCATCTCATCAGTGCCTTCCATAGGAAAGCAGTTTCGTCCCTGCCCTTGCAGGATCCCTGTACCCCTGCCTTGCTTTGTTCCTCTGCTCAGCTTGCACAGGGAACCAGACAGAAGACACAGGGAATGATTCCCAGGCATCCCGTGGCCTCAGTTTCTCTGCTTGTGCACTTGTGGTAGCCCTGCCCTCTGAGCACTCCATGAACAGATGCATCTGCGTCCGACATTGGAAGCTGCTGGCCTGTTGCATACAGGATGTGAAGTCTCTCTCCCCTGGGAGAGCAGGAAAGAGCTGAAGGAGACAGAAAAACAAGCTCAGCCATTCAACCTGGCTCAGGGCCCTCCGTTTCCCAAGTGGGCTGGTGCCAACGGACAACAGTTCAGACTGTCACATTCCAGAACTCACTTCATAAACACACTCGCCCTGAGCATATGGCACTGCCAGTCCCAGCCCCTCCCACCTACAAATAAAGCAGCTGTTCCTGAGGGCACGGGGTCTCCCCAGCTATCTGCTGTCATCAGCCGCAGCCCCCCAGCTGGCAGTACTCAGCAAGCCCCCATCATCTCCAAGAATAAACTCTGAAGCAGTGGCTGTGATGGACCTGAATCATAGGGCGCAGGCAGCAGAGGCCTACCGGGGGAGGGGGAGTGACTTCCTGGGATAGGCAAGCCGACTATATAAGCCCAGAGGGCTGGGCTCTGCTTACATCGCTTCCACCAGCCGCCGCCTGCCAGAGAGGGGCCTTTGGAGACCAACTGTGCACATTGCCCACCATGTCTCAGGTAGGAGGGTCCCACAAATGTCGGGACCACAGTGGGTGAGGGTGGGTCACAGGACACATCTCTGGCAGCTAAGCTGCAGGTATAAACAGAAGAACCTGTCCAGTCTCTGCTCACCCTGATGAATGAATCCTTGTTGTGTTTGGTGGTGGTCCGAGATTTGCTAGGAGGAGTGGTGGAAATGTGTCTGTCCTTATGGGTCCTTGTATGTGTGTCTGTACATGAGGGAGTTACTTGGATGGTGTGTAGTATTGGGTACATGTGTAGTCTTGGCATGTGTGTGGATGGCCCCATGCACTGCATGTATGTGGGTGTGCACACACATGCACTCGAGTGGGCACCCATCACATAGGGACTTTATTTGCAAGTGTGCAAACTATACCTGGTCTGTTCCTAGAAGTGTGTGCCTCTGCTGGGGGTGTCCTGTGTAGTCCAAGCTGAGGGACTAGGGAGTCCCTGGACCTGCCCCAGGGCTTAGGAAGGAATAAGGCGTCAACCTTCTGGGCGCTTGGGGTTTGGGCACAGGGTAAACACAAAATGGGATGTCCCAAGCAGCCTGCACGGAGAGGGTGAGCCCTGACTATGGACTGTGGTTGGGCATTTGGTTTCCCTACCCCATTCCCATCCAAACACACAAGGCACATGCTGGTGCGTCGATTGATGAGCCCCAAAGAACACAAACCTCCAAGGGAACCTCTGCCACTCTGTGAGCAGCTTTTAGAACATAAATTCCTGGCTCCAGAAAGCCCCCAGGGCACTCCGCCTCAGAGCCCTTCCTTCCCCTTTCCCCGCTGGGTCCAATCTTGAACATGGCCAGGTAGATGGAACAGTGTGAGGCCAGTGGCCACTGCCCACAGTGGCTCCCAGTCTTTAGGGTGAGGGCAAGTGTACAAGGCAGGCAAGAGGGTTGGTAGACGTGGTTGAGTGGGGGAGAGAAGCTTCCTGAAAGAGCAACAGGAGCAGGGAAGAGGTATTCCAGGATTAAGGCCCTGAGGCATCGGTGTAAAATGAGGCTCTGGACTCTCCAAGGCTCCGGAAGCACCCATCAAGAAGAAGCGCCCCCCTGTGAAGGAAGAGGACCTGAAGGGGGCCCGAGGAAACCTGACTAAGAACCAGGCGATCAAGTCTAAGACTTACCAGGTCATGCGGGATTGTGGTGAGTGTCTTCATGCTGGGGGCGGTGGGGAAGGGAGGAAAGGGTTCTGTCTAGACAGAAGGGGCCTCCAGTTCCTGGAAGTCAGGTCAGGCCCCTGACTCTGTCTCCTCCTACAGAGCAAGCAGGCTCCACTGCCCCATCGGTGTTCAGCCGCACCCGGACAGGCACTGAGACTGTCTTTGAGAAGCCCAAAGCCGGACCTGCCAAGAGCGTGTTTGGCTGAGAAGTGCATGTTATTCCGTTCCCCTTGCCTCCCCAAACCCCTAGACACAGAAGCCTGGTCCAAGAACCTTTTTCATGCCAGAACATGCCCTTCCTTCTCACCAGCTGTCTCTGGGACTGCCACCCGCCCCCACCACCTGGCCCATCAACCGTGGGACTCTACATAACATTGAGGACAACCCTAAAGAGGATTCCTGAACCTTCCATACGGGATCAAACTGACCACAGCAACTTGAAAGGTTACATAGGAAGATTAGGGGCAGTGAGTTTATGTTAAAATTTAGGGAAAGAACGATTCAGAAAACAAGGGTGAGAATGGTTGCACAGTTTGAAAAATGTAATCTTGTCACTGCGTTGTACATATAGAGATTGTTGAATTGGTGTATATTCTCAACATCAACAAAAATAAAGTGAAGTAAAAAAACTACATGGAGGGTACTGGTTCCTCAGCCATTGCCATTGCACCTGGGCAGGGGAACAGGCTGGCTGTGTGGGAGTACATCTATGCCCTTTCCTAACTTTGGGGAGGGTCCCAAGGCTCACACCTATGTCACCTGCTAAAAAGAGCCCTAAGCTTGAGACCTAACATTGATAGACCTGCATCACTTGGGAACAGCCTCCTCCTTTTTGGCAGCTCATATCCCCTTCTTTCTAACAGAGGAGTTGCCCTGGAGCGAATTCCATAAAGCAGGCCCAGTGACTTCGCAGAGTGAAGCAGGAGGGGCCTGGTCTCACTCTACCCCCTGCCATCCACAGAAGCCATCCAGATACTTCCAGCATCCCATGGCTCTATAAGGGGTCCCTGCTTCTTGACCTGAAAGCAAATCAAGATCTTCTCTGGCCAGTAGGAGCTACACCCTCCTCTCCCAACAGCCTTCCCCTTCCACCGCCACAAAGCTGCCTGGGATATGGGAATACCAGGTTCTTACCTCGTGTGGCTCTTTCAGCCTCAATGGCCCCCTGTGTATGCAGCAGTCTGATTCCAGGGACGATAGGGGTTCTGACAGCAACAGCAAGACTGTGGGCAGGTTGACAGAGGTTCCCTTCAGGGCGGATCCTACAGGGACATCCCTCCCAGACTCTGGGAGATGGAGCTGAGATAGGGAAGCCAACTGCTCACAGCCTTTCCTTCCCACAACTCCTGCCCAGCCTGGCCTCCTTAAATAGCTCTCAATCCAAGCTGGGCCCATGCTCCATTACCCAAAGGAGCAGACCTGTGGGGGCAGCTCCAGGACCTGGACCAGCTCACTAGGCTTCTTGGAGAGGTCCTCTCCCCAAGTTACTGAAGGGGGTGTCTCCTCTCCCCATCCCATGTAACTTCAATCATATCCAGGGCCAAAAGGATGAGCAGTGTAAGGTGTGCACAGCATTGAGACTGGCCAATACTTACACTACGAAAGGGGAACATTTCACCATCAGCCTCAGAAATCACCTTAAGCCCACAATGCCCTTCCCCAGGACTGGATGCTGCTTGCTGAGAGGAAGGCAGAGCCAATGGAGGAGCTGCTTTCACTGGCCCTGGGGTCCTGCTTAAGCCCCTAGAACAGCTGGTCCCTGTGGTATGTGGGGAGAGGGAGACTGGTGCGTCTGAACCATCCTACGCCTCGACCAGGACTTTGTACCTAGCCACACCTTTGTGAAGCATCTGTGGCCACAGACCCAGGTTTTCCCAGAGCCATGGGGAATAAAAGCACCAGCTGCATCCAGACCTCTTAATATTTAATCATCTTACTGCTATTTGTTATCAAAGCAGTTCAACTTAATTAAAGAAAATTTGAAGTAGTCACTCATAACCCCACCCTGTAGCCCCTGAGCAAGTACTCGTTTTGGTCTGGCTGTGACATCAGCACACCTGCTCAGGATAAGGGCACTGTCTAGGGGCACTGTTTTACTCAGAGCCATGATTCCGAGCTCTCTTGGCACCCTGGGACATGTCGCCACACGAATTCCCTGATAGGAGCTCCCTTTGTTGGATCCTTGTTGGATGTCTTCCTGTATCAATAAATTCCCAGAAACAAGACCCCTGGGCATTTTTATGGCTCTTGGTTTAGGATACCAAATTGCAGGTCGTTGTTTTGGGGATATTGCTAGAGCTGAACCAAGAGCCCTGGGTAGGCTAATGGAGCCCAAACAGCAGCCTGGGATCCCCGGAGAGAGACGGTGGGCACCTGGACCCAGCACCTCTCTCACCAGAAATAAGGCAGATCCAACCTTCCTTGGAGTCCTGCTAATTGCAGTCCTCCTTGGAAATCCTATAAAGGATCCCTATGAGTCAGAACCGACTTCATACAACAGCCTTCCTTGATACCAGCAGATCTTTTTCCATTCACACTCTTCCAAGAGCTTCTTGGTGCCTTCAGGACCCACTACTGCGCAGCCACACTAGCCTGGCTTCCAAGGCCCCTTCTTCCAGAAAGCCTCTAGCCCAAGTCTTCATGGCCACCCTTTGTTTAGCCCCAGGCTGGGCTCATAGGGAGCAGACTGTGGCTTTTTCACTTGTGTGAGGGGTGGTGGTGTCCTGGAATGGTCCTGGCCCTTTCAGAATTATGCCAATATCCAACTTCAATCTGAGCCTCCCTTTCCTCAGGACATGTCCCTGTCCCCAGCCAAGGTCCAAGGGGCATTCAATTTGCCTGCTTATCTGTGGCCACTGTGTTTTTGGCTTGTGGATCCCAATTTCCCAGAACCTGCCCCCACAGGGGTGGGGCAGCAAACAAGTTACTAATTCATTCCCCCTTTTCCTCTCAAGCTCAGAAACTGCCTGACAGGCATCGACACAAAGATGAAGCCCCCAGCTTCTGCCCACACCTGTAGCACTATGCTCGTCCCACTTCTGCTGCTGGCTGCCCTCCAGGTCACCATTGCCCAAAAGGTAGCAGGTATTGTGGGTAAGAGTGTGAGGGGTGTGAGTTAGTGAGTCTGTGAACACATCTGAGAAGTGGGGGAGATCCTCTGTGTACAAGCGTGTAAATATGAGTGAGCGTGGATCTGCGTGTGTGGGCAAAGAAATGCTGCTGATCACGTACCAGGCATTATTCTGTGGGCTTGACATGGGTTCTTTCATTTCTGAAAGAGATGATCATGTTAACTTCCATTTCACAGACAAGGAAAATATCCCTGAAGGCAGGTGGTGGGGCAGGTGGTGGGAATACAAGCAGCCATGTGGGGATGCATATGTATGTAAGGGTCTGCAGGTGTGCATGTATGTGTGTCTTCCCTGGGGATCTAGGCCTCAGTGAAAGTGTGCGCCCAAGGGCAGAGAGCAACTGCCTAGAGGAACGTCCTGCAGACCTGGGGAGAAGCAACCAGGAGGGGCCACAGTTTTCTAATGCTCTGAACACTTAGCTAAGGGAAGAAAGGGAACAAAATAAAGAACTCTGTTGAAATCTTAGCTCCTGTGTCCCCCTGGTAGGAGATTACAGGAGCTATCCTCCCAGTCTATAGAAGCAAAGGTCTGTAGGAATCAAATGGCTAGTCCAGTGTCCTGTCACTGGACACAGCTAAGACTGTGTGGGAATCTTGTCCCCTCTAGGGCCAGTGGCTCACCTCTGCCCAAATAATGGGTGATCTTCCAGACACCCTAGTCCCAAGTTCTGTCACACCTTATGTGCTTATCTCCAGGGCACTGTGCACCCATAGAACAAGACAGACATGGCTCCTGCCCCATGGCACTGTAGGACAGAGAATGAAGCATGGGACTGCCTCTTATTTGAGTTGAATATTCACTTAGAAAGTGCCCCAGTGGGTTTGTCCTGAGGCCTGATTAGGGGCTCAGCCAAGGCTGAGTTTGGTCTGGGACCAGGATCCCAACTTGTATTGAAATGACCTGATACCTTCTCCTTCACTGATCCAGAATGGCATCGACATCTACAGCCTCACTGTGGACTCCAAGGTCTCATCTCGATTTGCCCACACGGTTATCACCAGCCGGGTGGTCAACAAAGCCAGTACTGTGCAGGAGGCCACCTTCCAGATGGAGCTGCCCAAGAAAGCCTTCATCACCAACTTCTCCATGTAGGTGCTTCCTGCCCTCTTCCTCACCCTCCCAATCCATCGCCATGGCATCATCTCCCACTAAGGCCCTATTAGACAAACACTCTTCCTGATGTGAAGGGTGTCAGGATGTCTGGCTTTGGGAGTCTCTCCTCCACCTGTGGGTGACAGAAAAACTAGGGGCTTTACCAGTTGAGTTAATACAATTTCAAGGTGTTTACATCTCTCCTTCCCTCCATCTGCCCAGCCATCCTTCCATACCTTCACCCACCTACTCACCCATCCATCCATCCATCCATCCTTCCATCATCTTAGAGTGCTACCCAGGTGGCAGACATGAGGACCTCAGAATCTTTGTGTTTGAGGGACACATATTTGGGGCACACTGAGGCCAGGTCCAGGCAGGAGGGAGTTACCAAATGGCAGATTCCAGTTCAAAAAAATCTCCTTTAAATCTTTCCTTGAGGAAGGGGGCTTCCTTGTTACTGGAAATTCTAAGCCACACTAGTCCCTGCCCCCAACTGGAACAGTGTAGAGGACATTTCTGCTCCTGGTCAGAGGCCACCTTGGGAGGACCCTGGGGACTCTGAGCTGCTACTGATCCTCTTACTTTGCCCTCTGCCTTCCCCCACGTGATTCCTGACTCAGTTTTGCAATGTTTGCTAACCACAACAGAGGTCCCTGTTTGTCCCTGGCCCCACAAGGAGACAATGACTGAGGGCAGCTCAGAGACAGACTGATGCCAGAAACTCAGGGTTCCTGAGGGTGCAACAGAGAGTGAACAGCTCTTAGGTGGGGGACCCACATGAACACTGGCACCTCTGAAAAACTGTAGTGAGGACAAGGGTCTCTGTCATTTATGTTCCCTCTTTTCTGCTTATTCCCCCAACACATACATTCAGCAGCTCCCACCTTGCTTAAGAAGCCTGGGTCTGTGTTGCTTACTCTTGTAGAATGTGCCTTCCAGGCTGCACTCAGCTTCTACCATGAATACCAAAGCCAATGGGTTGCCCAGTTATGGGTCCGTCACATCTGGCTCAAGGTCTCTGGACCAGATCTTGTTGTTATGTGAGGTGGGGGAGTAAAGGGCTCCCTTACCAGGTGGAAGCGCCACTCAGCATCTGGAGAGACAGCATTGTCCAAAGCGGGGAGGAGCCCTGTGGTCCACTCAGCAGCCCCATCTCTGGGCCAGAGTTCATTGATAACCAGGAAAGGCAGCCAGGTGGGAAGAGAAAGCTTAGTCCTGATGCCCTGACCTGCTCTGCTCCCCACCCATTCTCATGGATTCCCACCCTTCACACTGCCCCTACCCAGCTAGATCAGGTATATGTTTATCTGACATGGCCATCTCAACTCACACAAAGATGATTCTGGAGGGTAGTATATTTTCTTCCCCTAAACAGCCCAGTCAAAGGAATGGCAACTAGGAGCCTGTCTCTACCTCTGGAAATCCCATCAATCAGATGCCCCAAATCTGTTTCCTGAGAAGCTTGTCACCCTGCAGAATGCTTGTTCTCTATGTGTATGGGGGAGGGGGGGAACGGAGGGCAGGGGAAGGGTCACAATTTTCACCTCTTCAGTCATACACAGGGCTCAGGAAGTTCTTACTGAGGTTTAGCCAGTTCCTTTGGGAGTAGTTTGTGAGGTAGAATGGGGCAAGTGGAATGTGAAGCCAGATTGAAAAGGCAAAAGGATGCCAAGCTCCAGCCAGCCCTGCTTCCTCTGCAACCTCCCTTCCTGAGCACAGGCTTCCCACTACTGTGCCCAGCCTCCCGCCGTAGAATGAGAGCCATCATACTTTGCCGAGGTTCTCCACTCTCACTCAGTGTTCTGCACAGGCCTCATACACAGTAGGTGCATAATAAATGGGGGTGGGGTGGGGTGGGGAGAGCACTCAGGTAAAAGGAGCCCTGTGTCAAGAGGCACAGTAAATCTCAGAGGGACTCTTAGGAGAGTCAGATTGAGTCCACAAGTCCTGTCCAACTCCTATCCTAGGATCATCGATGGTGTGACCTATCCAGGGGACATCAAGGAAAAGGCTGCAGCTCAGGAGCAGTACAGTGCGGCTGTAGCCAGGGGCGAGAGTGCGGGCCTGGTCAAGTGAGCCTGGCAGTGGTGAAAGCCCTGGGTGGTGGGGAGCAAGGGGAGGGCAGCTTCTGCCCCTGCCTTCCAGCCCTCCACTCCCATCCCCACCTCCCATGGCCTTATCCCACCTGAGCTGGAGAAGCAGGCCTGATGATCTTTTCCCCCAGGGCCACTGGGAGAAAGACAGAGAAGTTTCAGGTATCGGTCAGTGTGGCGCCAGCTGCCAAGGTCACCTTCCAGCTGGTATATGAGGAACTGCTGAAGCGGCAACTGGGGGTGTATGAGCTGCTACTCAAAGTCCAGCCCCAGCAATTGGTGAAGCACCTGCAGGTACTTGGCATTGCTCCCTCCCAGAAGCGCCCCCTCCCCAATGCCCCCTGGTCTGGCCCTCTTTCCGTCTCCACCTCCCATGAGGCCCTATCCAGGGTCATCAGTGGCCCACACCTTCCTCCAGATGGACATTCACATCTTCGAGCCGCAGGGCATCAGCTTCCTGGAGACAGAGAGCACCTTCATGACCAATGAGCTGGCAGATGCTCTCACCACTGTGCATAACAAGACCAAGGTGAGCCTGCTGGTCAGCAGGGGGTGGCTTGCAAGGGCCTGTGCAGGTGATGAACCTGGATCTTCAGGGAGCAGGACAGTTGGGCTGTTTCTCTGACCTGGAGGGTGCCCCTGACATTTTAGAGCACATTGTCATTTGACAGGTAGGTAGGGTAAGACCTAGAAGAGAACAGTGGGTGCTGGTATGAGCCCCAAGGGCAGTGAGGAAGACCTTGGAGAGTAGAGTGGAGAGAGGGTCCTGGACCAAATGGAGAGGAGGAGATGGCTGAATCTGTTTATGTCTTGAGTCCAGTCTCTGCTTGTACTGTCTCAGCAACAAGGATTCACTGTCATACCCCTTCCCCAACATTGAGTTCACCCATCTGGCAACTCAGCCTGAGTGTAAGTTCCCTGAAATGTCAGCATCCTGGAATTCTCACTTCCTGATATATGATGGGTGTTGCTGGTCTGGCCTTAGCACTCCACCTAACCTCAGCCCTGATTGTTCCTTCAGGCTCACATCCAGTTCAAGCCATCACTGTCCCAGCAGCAAAAATCTCCAGAGCAGCAGGACACGGTTCTGGACGGCAGCTTCATTGTCCGCTATGATGTGAACCGGACCCTCTCAGGGGGCTCCATTCAGGTGGGTGGCTCCAGAAAAGAGCAGGCCAACCTGGAAATACATTCACTCTCACAAACCTTGGGTGTTTTAAAAGAGGCAAATTCACCGTGCCTACTTGGTGGTGTGCACAGACAGAAAACAAGCAGCTTGCCCATGAAAGGTTTGTCTCTGGTGAAGAGCTTTTGTGCAGAGTTTCTCTCCTTGCCTTGGCTGCCAGGAGGTTCACAACTTAGTTTTACCTTCAACTGCAGTGGTGGTGGTTACGTGCAGTGGAGTCAGTTCTGACTCATAGCGACCCTGTACAGGGTTTCTGAGGCTGTAAATCTTTATGGGAGCAGAAAACTTCATCTTTCTCCTGCAGAACAGCTGGTGGTTTCAAACTGCTGACCTTGAGATTCACAGCCAAATTCGTGTCCACTACATTACCTGAGCTCCTTCTCCTATACAAGTTTCTGGCATTGTTATACCTCTCTTTACTCCTTGTGTTTTGGAGTCTGTTCTCCCTTTTGGTGGATTTCAGTTTGCTTATGTCTGAACCTTTTAATATAAGCCGCCTCAAATACTACAAGAAATGGAAGATAAAGTGGGGTAGAATTTCAGTGGGTCATACATGGCCAAGGGAGGCATCCTACAAGAGGAGCTGGGCTGACACTGGAGAGAGGGTTTAGGTTTGGAGGCATTCGCAATGGAGAGGCTTGGAAGGAGGGAGCCCAATGACTTGGAGGCCCCAAGGTGGAGGAGTAATTTAGGGAGACCTGATATGCAGGGAGGGCAGGACTGTGTCTCTGACCGCCTGGGTGCCACCTCAATCTGGCTGCAGATCGAGAATGGCTACTTTGTGCACTACTTTGCCCCAGAGGGCCTGCCCACCATGCCCAAGAATGTGGTCTTCGTCATCGACAAGAGTGGCTCCATGAGCGGCAAGAAAATCCAGCAGGTGGGTCCCAGGGCCCCTCACACTGTCAGTCCCAGTTCAGCAAGTAGTCTCTTCACCATCTCCCTGGGTGGGAGCTTCAGAGGTTGAAGCAGGCCACAGTATGAGTGATCCCTGCATACAATCTTGTTACCACCCCAGATGGGAGCCTAGGGATGCCAACTCAAGGGCACAGGAGCCTTCAGGGAGGCCCGCTAAGCCAACCACCATATCCTGTCTCCCCTCCCACTGACCAGACCCGGGAAGCCCTGATCAAGATCCTGGATGACCTCCGTCCCAGTGACCAGTTCAACCTTGTTGTCTTCAGCAAACATGCAACCCAGTGGAGACCATCGCTGGTGGCAGCCACAGAAGAGAATGTGAGCAAGGCCAAGGACTATGCTGCCAGCATCCAGGCCCATGGAGGTGAGTGCCCCTCCAGCCCTGTGTGTGGGAACTTCCAGGCTTGGGGACCACCTTTAGAGTGTGTACCCCTCAGGGACCAACATCAACGATGCGATGCTGATGGCGGTGGAGCTGCTGGACAACAGCAATAAGGAGGAGCTGTTGCCCTCAGGAAGCGTCTCCCTCATCATCCTGCTCACCGATGGTGACCCCACCGAGGGTGAGTGCCAACCCTGGGGTGTCGTGGAACCTGGGGAGGGGAGTGGGGTGGCCACACTGAGGCTCCTCAGGCTCTGAGATTACAGAAATATCCATTGAGCAAAATCACTGTTTTCTTATCCCCTTCCTAAACTCGTGGGTCCAGGGGAGACCAACCCTGCGAAGATCCAGAAGAACGTGCAGGATGCCATAAGTGGCCAGTACAGTCTCTTCTGCCTGGGATTTGGCTTTGATGTCAGCTACTCCTTCCTGGAGAAGCTGGCACTGGACAATGGTGGCCTGGCCCGGCGCATCTACGAGGACTCAGACTCTGCCTTGCAGCTCAAGGTGGCGGCCTAACCCCGAGTGAGGGAGGGTACAGGGAGGCCAGACAGACCCCAGCCCAGCCTTCGTGACACCCCTCACATGCACACACCCTGCAGGACTTCTACCAAGAGGTGGCCAACCCGTTGCTGACTTCAGTGGCCTTTGAATATCCAATCAACGCCGTGGAGATGGTGACTCAGGAAATTTTCCGGCTCCATTTCAAGGGCTCAGAAATGGTGGTGGCCGGGAAGCTCCGGGACCAGAGCCCTGATGTACTCTCTGCCAAAGTCAACGGGCAGATGGTAAGGTGCAACCAACCAGTCTCCCCAGAAGGGCAGCTGGGACCGAGGGCAAACTCCACCTTTGCAGCCAGAGGAATTGGGCTCAGATCCCAGCCCTGCCCGGCTCCAGCTGATTGACTTTGGCAAATTGCAAAATGCGTTGAGCCTCAGGTCTCCTTTCTACCACCTATGGTGACAGTCACCCCTGCCTCTGGGTCCCTGGTGGAGGGTCAGTGGAATAATGAAGTGAGGCCCATGAAAACACATGTGTTGTTGTTAACATGGTTACTGTATGCACCATTGTCAGCCTGTCCTCACACCAACTCTCTGAGGTTGCAGGCAGGGCATCAGGGTGAGAGCCCAGCTCCCAAAGTGGTTCCCTCTCCTGGTTCATCCTGCTCTGCCTCAGGTGATCTGCCTGCATCACCTCCTTCCAGGAAGTCCTTCTCCTTCCCCAAAGAGAAACGAGCACCTAATATGTGCAGGCCCTTCTCTAGGCTCTGGGGATATAGCAGTGAAAGAGGCAAGTCCCATCCCTGCAGACAAATCAGTACACGAATAAGTTGCTACAGGCTTGGAAGCACCTGACAGGACTAGCCCAGGGACTCAGGAGAGCACCAGGAGCCCAGCCTGGCCTGTGGATCAGGAGGGGCTTCCTGAAGGAGGCCTAGCTGGGCAGACAGATGAGTAGGAGGTGGACAGGACCAGTGGTGGAGTGGAGTGAGGTAGGAATGTTTCAGGTCAGTGTGGCAAGATGACAGCAGGTGTGGAAAGAAGAGCAGATGGGCATGAGGGACCCGGGACCAAGGAAAGGAAGTCAAATGGTACACATGTCAGTGCAGGCCCTTGGCCAGCCTCACTGCTCCTGCCCTGCCTGGGCCTCTCTCTCCAGTACAAACAGAACGTATCCTTCCAAATGGAGTCCAATGTGGCTAAGCAGGAGGAGGAGTTCCAGAGCCTCAAGTATATCTTCCACAACTTCATGGAGAGACTCTGGGCATACCTGACCATCCAGCAACTGCTGGAAAAGATGTGAGTGGCCAGGATGCCTGGGACCAGCTGGACCTCCCACACTCAGCAGGAGCACCGCCTAGGCTTTTTGCTGGTGGGGCGGACACTGGCAGGCGTAGGGTATTTGCTAGAAGGAACCAGAAGGGAGAAGGATCTGTCCAGGCATCCAACGACCTGCTGAGCTCTGATATCTTCACCCTGCAGTGTTTCTGCATCAGATGCTGAGCGGCCAGGCCTTGAGAAGCAAGCTCTGGGTTTATCACTCAACTACAGCTTTGTCACACCTTTAACATCTATGGTGGTCACCAAACCTGAAGGCCAAGAACAGTCTCAAATTGCTGAGAAGCCCAAAGAAGATGGTAGATTTGGTAATTAAGGGCCTCTGGCCTCCCAAGCAATAGAGTTCCTCCCTAATATCCTCTCTACCCGTTCCCCTCCATCCCAACTGAGACTCCAGTCCTGCTACCCACAGACTGAGTAGGTGACAGAGCCCTGAGAGACTTGTCCCATTTCATTGAGGAGGAAACTGAGGCCAGGGCTCTGGCTCCCCTGCCTGATTCATTGCACCTATTGTACTGGGGTTGGGAATTAAGATTAATTAGAAGCAATCCAAAGTGATCAAAATCATCTTAATATTGTTCCTCTCTCTCTCTTTTATTTTACCCAGAAAACCCACACAGGATGCCCAAACCAAGAAGAGGTAAGGACCTAATATCCCCAATGGCTGACCTGGGTGGTGGTTCATTTATACAAGATTTAGTGCAGCAGCACCACGAGTTCACTGGTGCGGGCCTGGATCTGCAAAGAGCCTGGTGTCTTTAGTTACCTGTTCATTCAAATTTTGACTGGCACAAGAAGCTCTGGTAGCGTAGTGGTTACAAATTGGGCTGCTAATCTCACAGCCAGCAGTTCGAAACTACCAGCTGTTGCACGGGAGAAAGATGAGGCTTTCTGCTCCCATAAAGATTTACAGCCTCAGAAACCCTGTACAGGGTCGTTATGAGTCGAAACCGACTCCACAGCACACAACAACAGCATCTGTTGCTGGCCTTGTGTTGAACACTAGGGACACCATCCATATCCAGGTGGGGGCCGCAGAAATGTAGATCCAAGAAACAAACCCAGATCTCTTTGATTTCCAGGTCACTTCAAAAGACCATCACTAGGAAATGGAGTGTTCAGATCAAGAGGTAGCTGTGAAGGAAAGGGTGGGAGGAGGGACCCTTGACCCCTGATAGCAGAACTGGAACTCAAGTCCAGATGTATCTGATTAGGATACAGTGTTGCTGATACCTACCATCATGGAGGACAAGGAATGAAAGGACCAGCAGGTAGTTTGAGGGGCACTATCAGAGGGAGGAGGCATGGTATCACAGGAAGGAGGGTTCATTGTTGCAGCTTTAAGGTTCTCCCAGCTGCTGGGGGTTCACTAAAGTGGCGGTGTGGAAAGCGGAGCCATTCCTCCCCTGGGGCAAGGCCTCAGAACCCTGGCTGGTGGGGACCGATGGCATTGCCTGAAAGAAGACTCTACTGGTGTCAGCTTTTCTAGACCTTGACATGGAACCCATGCGCTTCCAAGCTGAAAGTTTTCCTGAATCTGCTGCTATGTTGAACCTAGAGAGGTCCACCAGACCGAAGTTCTTCCATGTGTCATCAGCACCAGATTTGTCATCAAGTAAGTCACTTTACAAACCTCTAAGCGTCTCCGTTTCCTTGTTATGAATTTGACTTATAGAGTTGGATGAGATAAAGTACCAAGCTTGAGGTGCTTTATCAAACGCTTCATCAAAGTCTTGGCACAGACCAGGAGATGTTGCTGGAGGGGGTTGGGTGTGACAATAAGTAATTGAGACTTGGTTTCATCCAGAATCGTCTCCTGAAAAAGAGTCAGTTGGAGGGAAGAAAGCAGGGCCAGAGTTTGCTGGGGAAAGTAGTGTTTACTGAGGGGGTTACTTTCATCTTCTATACTTTCTACTAGTCCTCTGTTTAAGGAGCCTTGGTAGAGTAATGGATTATGCCTTGGACTGCTAACCAAAAGCTTAGCAGTTCAATTCCACTAGCTGCTCTGTGGGGAAAAAGATGAGGCTTTCTGCTCCTGCAAAGATTTACAGCTTCAGAAACTCCATTCAGGGTTGCTATGAATCGGAACCAACTTGACTGCACATAGCAACAGTTGCCTCTTTCCCTTGTCGTCAGTGCTTTATTTCCTTAGATATGAGCTCTCCCAGCTACTTCATTTTTCTCTAGATTTGTAGGATGTCACACCACAAACCCATTTCCTTATTCATGGGGGAGGAGACCAGTCAAGATTGCTCACCAGAGCTCTTTGGACCATCATCAGCTCCCTCCCTCCCTTCTCTCCTAAGGCACCTTGTTCTTCACCCAGATTAAGGACACCTGGCTCAGAGAGTTCCTGTCTTCCTCAGCCCCATCTGGTCCCCAAGGGAGGACATTATAATTCCTTTAATTTTCTCTGAATTGGGTTCATCACCTTCTGGGGCTTCATCCATAATGAAAAAGAAGACTTCCTCCTTGTAGCTATTTCGAATCATCCAACCTGAACTCAAACACAGCTAGCAGAGTCAGCCTGGCCCCTCTCTCCTCAGTGTTTTCCCTGGTCGTGTTCTGTCCTTTTTAAAACTCTCCACCTGTAAAGGTGCTTCAAATTTAGGCATTGTAGATTAGGGACCTGCCTGGTGGATGCCATGATTGCTGGAGGATGTGCTAATTCTCAGAGTGATCTTCTCTCCACTGCTGGTTATTCCTGTATTAATGCCTGTTTTGTTGCTATTAACATCTTCAGTTTCTGATACACACATGTTTTAGGATGTGAATATAAGACTCAAAGATGATCCCACACACACACACCCAACTTCCAAGACCAGAGTCCATATTCCAGCCCCACTCTCCAGGAAGGGACTGCCTAAACCCAGACTTTCTCTCCCCCTCAGGAACAGCCACAGCAGCCCCAACCTCAGGTATGTTGTCAGTCCCCCTCAGCACTCCAACCCATCCTTAACCCCCAACCTACCTTACCTGCCTCTGGACCCTTGTATCTGCTCTCCCAGCCCCTCTCCAGGCTCCTCACGTCATCCTTCCACTGCCTGGGCAGAGTGTGGACCGACTCTGTGTGGACATCAGGCACTCTCAGGGACTAGTGAACCTGATCTCGGACCCTGACCAAGGTGAGAGACACATACACAGGTATCCACCCAGGGGGACACAGACACCACTTCATCATCCTACCTGTCCACAGATGCATATGCCTGAAGACCTTGTCCACAGGCCTGCAACAGTGGACACGCCTAACACTTGCCCTTGCTCACACATTCACCCCACAGACCTTCCCCTTGTACCACATGCCCAAGTCTGGGGGATCTGAGCACTCCAGGATCACTGGTCACCCATGCGTGGGATTGCCTCAGGCCTTCTATACTCTGAGAGCAGATCTAGGTGCAGGTAAACACAGTGACCAGTGGGCAATGCCCATAGTGAACACAGAGGAGATAGGAGCTGCCTGAGAGGGAGTGGTCAGGCCTTGGTAGGTGTCTTAGGCTGGGTTCTCTAGAGAAATAAATCCAGTGAGATTTATATATGTTTACATATGGAAGAAGTGAAGAGATACAAGAGCTGAACAGAACATTTCAAAGGTAAGCTCAAGAAGAAAAAATAAAATATAACAAAATATGCAAAGATCTGGAGTTAGAAAACCAAAAGAGAAGAACACGCTCAGCATTTCTCAAGCTGAGGGAACTAAAGAAAAAATTCAAACCTCGACTTGCGGTTTGAATTTTTTCTCTGGGAAAAATACTGAATGATGAAGAAAACATCAAAAGAAAATGGAAGGAATACACAGAGTCACTGTACCAAAAAGAAATGGTCAATGTTCAACCATTTCAAGAGGTAGCATATGATCCAGAGCCAGTGATCATGAAGAAAGAAGTCCAAGGCCACTGAAGTCATTGGCAAAGAAAAAGGCACCAGGAATTGATGGAATGCAAATTTAAATCTTTCAACAAAGTAAAGGGGTACAGGAGGCACTCACTCATCTCTGCCAAGAAATTTAGAAGACAACTACCTGGCCAACTGATTGGAAGAGATCCATATTTGTGCCCATTCCAAAGAGAGGTGACCCAACAGAATGCGGAAATTATAAGACAATATCATTGATACTCCATGCGAGTAAAGTTTTACTAAAGGTAATACAGAAATGGCTGCAAGTGTACATTGACAAGAACTTTCAGAGGTTCAGGCTGGATTCAGAATAGGTTGTGGAATGAGGGATATCATTGCTGATATCCAATGGATCTTCGCTGAAAGCAGAGAATACCAGAAAGATGTTTACTTATACTTTATTGACTATGCAAAGGCTTTCAATTGTGTGGATCATAACAAACTATGGACAACATATGAATATTCAAGAACACTTCATTGTGCTCATGACGAACCTGTACATAGACCAATGAGCAGTTGTTCAAACAGAGCAAGGGAACACCAAATAGTTTAAAATCAGGAAAGGTGTGTGCCAGGGTTGTATTCTTTCACAGTACTTACTCAATCTGTGGAGTCCTGGTGTGGCACTGTGGGTTAAAGCACCAGACTGCAAAGCCATTTGAACTGCAAGGTCAGCGGTTCAAGCTCACCAGTCACTCCTTAGAAACCCTATACCAGGTTGCTATGGGTCTGAACCAACTCAACAGCACTTAACAACAACAACAATTCATTCTGTATGCTGAGCAAATAATCTGAGAAAGTGGGTTATATGACGAAAAATGTGGCATCAGGATTGGAGGAAGACTCATTAACAACTGCAATATGTAGATGATACAACATTGCTTGCTGAAAGCCAAGAGAACTTAAATTACTTACTGGTGAAGATCAAAGCCCACAGCTTTTGGTATGGGTTGACCTCAATATAAAGAAAACAAAAATCCTCACCACTGGACCAATAAATAACATATATATATATATATAAATAACATAATTTATATATATATATATCCCTGGTGTGGCACTGTGGGTAAATGCACCAGACTGCAAAGCCATTTGAACTGTAAGGTCGGCGGTTCAAGCTCACCAGCTGCTCCTCAGAAACCCTATACTGGGTTGCTATGGATTGGAATCGACTCAACAGCACTTAACAACAACAACAAATATATATATGCAGAAAAGATTGAAGTTGTCAATGACTTCATTTTGCTTGGATCAAACATCAACACTTAGAAAATCAAACAACAATGCGTATTGCATTAGGCAAATCTGCTGCACAAGACCTCTTTAAAGTGTTGAAGATGAAAGATGTCAGCTTGAGAACTAAGGTGCACCTGACTCAAGCTATGGTATTCTAAATCACCTCAGATGCATGCGAAAGTTGGATAGTGAATAAGGAAAACTGTAGAAGAATTGCTGCATTTGAGTTATGGTGTTAGAGGAGAACATTGAAAGTATCATAGAATGCCAAAAGAATGAATAGATCTGTGCTGACAGAAATACAACCAGAGTGCTCCTTGGAAGCCAGGATGGCCACACTTCATCTTTCATACTTTGGACATATTGTCAGGAAGGACCAGTCAACTGGAGAAGGATATCATGTTTAGTAAAGTGCAGGGTCAGAGAAAAAGAGGAAGACCCCCAATGAAATGGATTGGCACAGTGGCAGGTGGGCTCAAATGTAGCAACGATTGTGAGGTTGGTCCAGAATCAGGCAGTGTTTTGTTCTGTTGTGCAGAGGGTTGTTATGGTACCTAGCAACAACAACATAGAAGTTTATATCAAGGAAATGACTCACAATTGTAGAAGTAGGAGAGTCCCAAGTCCAGATCAAATGAATTAAGATCCAGAGGCAGGTACAGCGGGGTAAGAAGACAGGCTGCTGATGGCTCCCAGGATTGGCAGGTAACGTCAGGAAGCCATTGAGCATCATGACGTCATTGAACATCATCGAACCTCATGATGCCATCGAATGTCATGATGTCATTGAACGTCAGGAAGCCGTTGAACATTGTGATGTCATTGAACATCATCAAATTGAGCAGGCCACTGGAAGACAGAGGACAAGCCAGATGCAAGATCCAGACCCAGAAGAAAGCAAACAAGATTTGTCTGAGTGCCTCATATATTGGAAGCAGGCCACACTCCTTAGGAAACATCCTTTCAATTGATTGGCTGCTCATAGCAGAGCTCATCGTAGAGTTAATTATATTGTATTATATCTCGTTGTTTGGATAACTACATCTCAACTGCCAAACCACTGAGAATCCTGGCCCACTCAAGTTGACACACAACCATAACTATCACAGCAGGCAAGTGGGAGACCGCTAGGTAAATGTGAGGAGAGGCAGGTTGTGGTATCACAGATGGAGGAATTAGCTCCTTCAGAAACATCAAGCCCCCAAATATTCAGTGGGACTGTAGATGGTGGAGGATGGGTATGGTGGTAGGAGGTAAGTGTGTTGCTGGGCCCCTGGGAAGGGCCTCACTGGTATAGTGGACAGACATGGAGATGCACACATACTTAGGCATGCTTCCACACACACCTACAGAGCCTCTCAGAGACACCAAACTGCACAGCTCCCTCATGCCTCCCAAATTCCACAGAATCTTAATCTAGTCAGGTCCAGAAGTCTGTTTGCTCCTTGAGGGCAGGGACCACCGATTTTCTACCTGAATCGTGGCCATGGTATCTCGCCCAGGGCCAGGCATACAACAAAGATTTTAGAAAGGTTTATAGACTTAAAAGATGACCTCCCTTCTCAGAGGCCTTGTTCTGAGGAGTAGCCACCACAGAGGATTTGGGGACCATTTCACAGTCATATAAAACCAAGCAATGAGTGGGGTGATTGTGGGAATCAGACCTCTGTGTGACAGAGTGTTGAGGAAGGAGGTGGGTTTGTGGAAAGCGTAATCAGGGAGAACTTCCTGTTTGGGCCAGCATCCATTGCTGACAGGGTCTACAGCTTTACCTCTCTGGTCCTGATCCTCTTAGGGATTGAGGTGACTGGCCAATTTGAGAAGACTCAGTTTTCATGGATTGAAGTGACTTTCAAGACTCCTGAGGTGCATGTCCGTGTGTCTCCTGAACATGTAGTGGTGACTCGGAACCAAAGAAACTTTGTTTACAAGTGGAAGGAAACACTGTTCTCAGTGATGCCTGGGTAAGCCCCCACTTGGGGTACTAGGTGAATGACCGACCACATTGCTGACAGATGGCCTGAAACCAAGGGCCTAGGCATGAGTCCTCTGCAATGGGCATACCACAGGAGGGGTGGAGAAGCAGGGAGCCCTGCTGTATTCCTCTAGGTCTAGAGGGCACCAAGTTAAGACCTAGTGCCCCTTATACCTAACCCAGGCCACAATTCCATGCAGATGACAGTATGACTAGGCTCTAGCTCTGCTGGTAATACTGGGTGACACTGAGCAGGCTATGTGGCCTCACTGAGCCTCAGCTTCCTCATGGAGAACTAGGGGTGATCATCTAGCCCTTACTCAGGCTGGAAAGGAAGAATCAGAGAGAGTGGGCTGGGGAGTACTTTTTCCCTTAGATGATGCAGTGCCTTGGGGGCACACCATCAGGGACCCTCCACACACAGTGAGCCAACAGAGGCAGTAATGGGAAGCTGGAACACACTGCTCCTGAGGAAGATTATTGATTTTCTCTTTAGTCTGGTTTTGAAGCTCAGATGACAAATCCAGCTGGTGTCAATTAGCTGGCGGGTAATGGAGGCCCCACTGTAGGGCCTTCTAGAGACAGCTCTTTGGCTCTAGAAGTCACAAGCCTTCCCGGGAGAGGGACTAAGGACCAGAACTCTCTGTGGCCAGTGTCTTCTTAGCTACCCAGACTGCACCATAGCCCATCTTTTCCCCCAAGTATGGATGGCTGTCCTACCGTGTTCCTCAATGGAGACTCACTGACAAAGGAGTTCCCATCTTGTAAATCTAAGGGGCCTGCCTGAAGCACTCCCCAATTTCCTAAGTCTCCCATTAGCTGAGGAATATATAAAGATAAATAGCATTCCTACATACAAAGTGGAAAATAGATAAAGAATTCCTATTCATTGTCTGGAGTCCTGTTGTGGTGCTGTGGGTTAATGCATCAGACTACAAAGCCATTTGAACTGCAAGGTTGGGAGTTTAAGCTCACCAGCTGCTCCTTGGAAACACTATACGGGGTCGCTATGGGTTGGAACTGACTTGACAGGTAGCGTAGTGGTTACAAATTGGGCTGTGAACCACAAGGTCAGCAGTTTGAAATTACCAGCTGTTCTGCCAGAGAAAGATGAGGCTTTCTGCTCCCATAGAGATGAATAGCCTCGGAAACCCTGTGCAGGGTCGCTATGAGCTGGAATCAACTCCATGGCACATCACCACCACCACCACCACAACAACAACAATTTATTGTCTAAGTCACCTTCAACCACAAAATTGGCAGTGCAAGCTCACCAGTTGCTCCTCGGAAACCCTATACAGGGTCAGAACCGACTCAATGGCACTTAACAATGACAATTCATTGTCTGAATACTTTTTGGCCTATCATGAGCTATAGAAGAGATACATAAGGAAAAGTAGACCACATCGTTCAGACTGAACCAAGACAACAGGACAATTTGTCCTGAGGGAAGTCCCACTTAAAAGAACCTCCTAGTAACAGCAAGGTTATTGGACATACTTAAAGGAGTCCAAAATTCATCAGAAAATTTAAATGGCAAGATTTTCAAGGATTATTATAAGGAAAAAAGGAGAAGATAGGATAAAGAGGGATTTGCCATTGTAGACGCTATAGTACTTTACTAAACCCTCATCATCAAGAGCCTGGCACCAGCCATGAAAACAAAAGGGACAGTGTAGGTACATCTGAGAAACTCCCTAACACAACCCACAGCACCATCAGAGCTCCATGTATATAGCCAGATAGCATAATAATTATAATCATATAAAATAATCCATGAAAAACAAAATGTAAGCAAATAATAGGGATAGGAACTATTATTTTATAAATAATACTGTCATTATATTAACTTTGGTCCCATTTTACCCATGAGAAAATGGAAGCCCAGAGATTTAAGGGATATCTCATGCAAGGCTGAATTATGAATTCCTGAAAACAAAGTGTACCCCCAGGCCCCTGTCCACCCCAATTGTTGAAGTTCTGGCCTAGATTTCATGCCCCGATACCTGGCTCAAGATACTGGGTTTTTCTACAGCCTAAAGATGACCATGGACAAGACCGGTCTCCTGCTGCTCAGTAGTCCAGACAAAGTGACCATCGGTCTGTTGCCTTGGGAAGGCCCTGGGGCGGGACTTCGGCTCCTTCTTCGAGACACTGACCACTTCTCCAGCCACGTTAGCGGAATCTTTGGTATGCTGCCCATGGCCCCATTTTGGGACCTCCTCAGGGATTACCGTGGCCCAGGAGCAGACAGTACCTCCTCATCTCTGTGTGTCTCCCAGTCTCTATCTGACGGATCCACCATTTGTATCTCAGGCCAGTTCTACCAGGACGTGCTCTGGAAGCCCGCAGCATCAGAAGACACTAAGGGAACGCTGACAGTTCAGGGAAATGACTATCCTGCCACCAGGTGATCTAGCTCAAGCCAGTCCACTGACCTGGCCAGGGATGGCGGCTGGAAGGGTGGAAACTGGCAGTCACATCCCGCCCCCCTCCCCCGCTCAGTTATCTTTACACAGGAACTAAAGGCAATCAAGGGAAGGGGTGAACCTCAGGCATATCACAAATAGAAAACATACCTGCCCAGAGATCACTGGGGATGCTTGGGGGCAGCAGGAAACACCCCCAAACTCTCAGAGCCTTAGACCCTAGTGACCATATACAACAGGGTCCCCCTGGGTAACTCTCTGGGTGAAAGAGCCTTGTTGTCATATCTGAAGAGTATTCTAGAGGGGCCGCAGGGCTCCCTACCCATCATGTCCCCATCCCCAGCTGTCCCTGTCTCTTCTCACCATACCTGAGATCTGCTGACCACTTGCCTGCCTGTCTGTCTGTCTGTCTATCCCAGAGAGCTCAAGCTGGATTACCAAGAGGGGCCTCCTGGAACAGAGATTTCCTGCTGGTCTGTGGTACTGTAGTTTGGATGAGAGGAACTGTGGGGTCCCACCCACACTCTCTGACAGAAAGTAATATAAGTATATTGTAGCAATCACAGGATCACCCGTGGGGCCTGGACTGCAAGGGGTGGGGGGATTCCTACTCATCATAAATAAAGAAATGTGTTGTGAACTCAAGAAGTGGAGCATCCCATGACCTCATAACCTCATCCTGGACACTAGCACGGTGGGATCTCTGACTGTTGGCCCCCATTGATCCCCAGCTCCTGGAGCCATAGCAACTTTCAGTTCAGTCTCTGTACTTTGCAAACAGGAAGATTAAGATATGGAGCAATTAAAGCACCCATTACAGCTAGGAGTCTAGAGCTAGAGAACATACTGCAGGAGCCAAACATCAGTCTGCTTTATGATCACTCAGTCTGTGAAAATCAATTTGACTTAAAAAAAAAAAAAAAAAAGTGAACTGGGTTGACATTATTTATAGACCAACTCTTAAACTTTCTCAACAAACCATTGGGCCCCTTTGAAATGGGGTTTACATTGCACGATCTGAGTTTATACCTGTGCTCAGATACAGGCCTGCCTGCTCAAAGAGAAGTTAGCTCAATTCCCAGCAAAAGACAGACAGAACCAAGGGTCCCCAGTCCCCAGAGGGAAGCAAGGACCTTTCCCAGGAGACTCTAGTATGATGGGGGATAAACCAAGTACCGAAGATCTGAATCTTGTGCTGTTAGTTTCCTATCTATACCCCAGGGTTAGACACCTCACAGAGTCTACCAATTTCTACATTGTTGTTAATTTTTCCATTTCATAGAGACATTAAATAGTGTTTCCAAGGTGTGGCTGGTAAGTTTAAACCACTGACCTTGTGGTCAGCAGTCCAGCACCACACCAAGACTCCAATTTCTGCACAAAGCATACTTTAACAAGTGCATTAATCCACCTATTTCTGAAAACAGAATATGAGTCTAGGACTTACAAATGAAAAGTGTAGAGAGAATAAAACCCAAAGTCATAAATACAAGAATAAAAGTTAAATTAGATACATCAGAGGGCGGGAAATTTCATCATTGATTGAACACAAAGCTTCTCTCCGAGTTTCCTGGTAGTCCAAGGCAAAGCAAAAAGTGAGAGCATTTGTTTGGTAAGCACACCAGATCATCAGGGAAGACATTCTTTGCCCAGTTTTTGAGTTGTGGAGGATGTTTACCGATGGAGTCTTTCTAGAACTGTCACAGGATAGGCTGGTGGGAGAGATCTCCAACAGCAAGTTTCCCAAACACAGAACACTCTTCCCTGCACTGCTGCCTCTCCATCAAGCCTTGTTGGTAGGAGAAGACTTCAAACTGAGTCACTTTGTGAAGGGGGCTCAGATCAGAGCCCTTTAAGACAAAGGAACAATTAAAGACCTAAATGTGAACCCCAAAATTATGAAGGCCATCAATGAAAAAATAGGGACAAATGTGAGGGCTCTAATTCAGGGCATACACAGACTACCATACATTTTGAAAACTACATAAACAAAAATAGACAAAATAGATGTTTGGGACATACTAAAAATTAAAAACTTATGTGCATCAAAAAACTTCACCAGAAGAGTGAAAAGGGAACCCACAGAATGGGAAAAAAATCTTTTGCATTGGCATATCAGACAAGAGACTCATTTCTAAAATATATAGGAAACTACAATACTTCTACAAGAAAAAGACAACCCACTTAAAAAATGGGCACAGGATATGAATGGACACTTCACCAAGGAGGAGATCCGGGCAGCCAACAAACATATGAAGAAATGTTCACGATCACTAGCCAGAGAGATGCAAGTCAAAATAACAATGAGATATTATCTCACACCAGCAATAACAGCAAAGATGAAAAAAGTAGAGGACAATAAATGCTGGTGAGGATGTGGAGAGACTGGGATGCTCCTGCATTGCTGGTGGGATTGCAAAATGGTCCAATATGGCGCTTCCTCAGTAGGTTGGAAATAGAAATACCTTATGATCCAGGAATTTCTCTACTTCGTATTTACCCACAAGAAATACAAGCCATAGCACAAGTAGATATATGTACACCAATGTTCATAACAGCAGTATTTACAATAGCAAAAAGATGGAGACATCCTAAGTGCCCATCAGCTGAAGAATGGATAAACAAACTGTGGTACATACACACAATGGAATATTATACTACCTTGAGGAACAAGGAATCTGTAAGCTATCACATAACATGGATGAACGTTGAGGACATTATGTTGAGTGAAATTAGTCAGTCACAAAAGGAGAAATACTGCATAGGACCACTACTGTAAAAGACTAAGAAAAAGAACCCATACTAAAGGTGGGGGGTGGGGTGGTGGGTAAGTGATTCTTTGCTGATTACTGGGACATGGGGGTGGGGTGAGTGGAGGGAGGGGAAGGTAGAGCACAGGGTAGATAATAGACACTGGATACTTTGGGTGCTGTGGAGGGGGGCAATACATAAGAAGGGAGAGGAGAATGGAAGAACAAGGCAATGGGAAAACAATTAGGCAGGTTTGCATGGGCTAAGTGGGTCAGAGGTAAATAATGATGTATGCACAACCTTGAAACAACAGAGCTCTGGGATACAGGGATTGAGACATGGTTGGTTGGAGTGGGGGAAAGGGGAGAAATAATGTTATGATGCTTGGCAGTCTTTTGAATCTTGGTTTCCCTTGCATACCATTATAAAATAGATGCTTGAGGGGGAGCGAAAGGAATAGCCAGAAATAGAATCACCATAGAAAGCTTGTAAGTCTGTCTTCTGCCTATAACATGTCCAGTGAAGGAGGCTTCCTGTGGAGCCTCTGCATTACATAAGACCATAGGTGGAATCCTGAACCCCATCCAGAATCTTCTGAGGTGGAAAATTTCTACTTGAAAAGACAAGTAGACCAGCCCAGAGCAGCTAGGAGATACTTCTTGAAAGAAAGACCAACAGAAAAATTACAAAACAGTAACAGCAATCCAAGAACAAGCAAGTTGCCTGCCCAGGAGACATCAAGGCAAGTGGTCGGGTCCCCTCAGGGCAAACCCCCTTCCAAAACTAAGACTCAATGGGAATACACAAGCAGACACGTGCTCTGATGGAGACCACGTTGGTCACTGATAAGGAGAAGTGAGGGAAAAACAGCAATGAAGCTGCAAGCTAAGTCCAACCACGTTCAATAGACTTCTGTGAACCCATGTGGAGGCCTGGTTGGCCAGCAGTGTGGCAAGACCTGGGAACTCCTGGGCCCAGAGTCAGTGATAGAGCCACAGAGGACTAGAGTGGAGAATGAAGCATCCAGCTGATAAGAAAGGGTGTATGCACAAGAACACCCACACTTGCAGATAATACCCACTTGACATGGCTTCAATTGCTGGATGATCAGAACTTAACTAGAAGACGAAAGAAGAGGAGAAAAAGAGTAATCTGATACAATTTGATAAACTTAACCCATACCTATGAATGCAGTAGCTCAAAAGAGGGAACAAATCTTTACGAGGATCATCCCCACCCCCTCAAAACACAGGGTACACAGGGATGGGCAACTTGGGTATTGGCTACCCAAAATGGGGGGAGGGGAGACTACAAAGGCAAGAAGTGACTGGCTTACAAGCTTTCAAGAGGGAGCCTAGATCCAGAGAGCATGGAGGAAGGTAGAATCTCCACTGAGTAGTTTGCAATCTGTCTGGGCAGGAATGATGAAAGGAGAATGGGGATAGCACTCATGTGGTACAACAGTGAATAATTAATATCAGGAAAGACTGTGAGAATTAAGCATGTACCATATTCAGAGATTTTTGTCAGAATTTCAGAAACAATCACATAACTTTATGAATAATCACCCTAAAATTAATTTTAAATCAAGATTACTTATTTTCAATGAAAGAATATTGATTTATAATGAACAGATAACTGAATCACAGATTTACCATATTGGAAAGGACCTCAAGACTTCATTTTGTACATCCACATCCAGATCTAGAGATATATTTGAAATAAATTATCTAAGTCAATGTGTTCCAAAACCTTGATAATTGGAAATGCCAGAAAAGCTTAGAAAAATTAAGACTCTTAAATCACATTTCTGGAGTTTGGTTAAGGAGATCTAGAATTACAAACAAACAAACGAAAACACTGCCATCAAGTAAATTCCAACTCATGGTGACCTGCACTGCTTAGGGGCTTTCCCCACAAGCTTCTGACTTTTCAGACGCTAATCTCTGAGGAACCTCTGGGTGGGTTTGGACCGCTAACCTTTAAACTAGAGCTTTTAACTTAGGAGACCATCCTGGGTTGCCTAAGTCAAGGACAGGACCTAGGAAGCTACAGTTTTAGAAATCTGCCATGGGATTTTGATCACAGGTCTGGGAATGACTTTTAAATTGCATTTATCATTGATGGTGGTGGGTGGTGGTGGTAATGTGCCGTGGAGTAGGTTCTGATTCATAGCGACCCTGTACAAGGTTTCCAAGGCTGTATATCTTTACAAGAGCAGAAAGCCTCATCTTTCTCCTGTGGAACAGCTGGTAGTTTTGAACTAATGACCTTGCAGTTTGCAGCCCGATTCGTAATCACTACACTACCAGAGCTCCTTGCATTTATCATTATTGCAATTTAAATGTTATTAAATTCAGCGGTCACATTAAAATGGAAATAACTTTTACCATTTGAGGTCAAGTTCTCTGTAAACAGAATCTGAGAAGGGAATTATATGCACATGATTTATTAAGTGCTCTCAGGAGAAACCTGTAAGAATGAGAAAAGTAGGGAAGGGAAGGTGATGAAGCTGGGTAAATTTTGCTGTGATTTCAGCAAAGATTAGCCTCAACTTGATTTTTCTAGGGGTTCTGGAGTATAAATTGTACATAGAGTTTGTCTTACCTGGAGGGAGCTGGGATTTTGTGTACTAACCACACTCTGTTGAGTCATTGGCTACAGTTGGTTGTTGGGGATAGTGTAAATTGTAAGGGCAGTCATCCAAGCATTCTAATGGGGAGTTGCAAGTGTAAGCAGTCCATGCTGCGGCTGGGGAGAAGTGAACTGAACTGGGAAAATGGGTCCAAGGACATCTTGGCAGGACAATTACAGCATCCATTCTAGTCCACCACTCAGGTCCACTTGTTTCTCATATTAAATTCATTCTATCAATCACTACTTCTCCAGGATTCTTTCTCTCCAAGAATCAGTCAGACCTCTGCGGAGGGAGCCCTCCTCAGATCCTTCACCCGCTCCATCAAGCCCAAGATGGCCGCTGCAGGAGCTGCTGGCAGCCGCAGATCAGAAAACACTACCTTTCTTGCTTCTGCTACAAGTCCCACTAGCAGTAAGTCTTCAGTCTTTCTAAATATACATTTATATGTCGTTCAGAGCTCTGGAATCATCCCCTGAAACTGCCTCATAGGTATTCTGTGTTATTACTGGTGGAGGTCTGCATGGTTCTTCTCCCTAATCTGCCATTAAGCCCCACCCCCTAGCAAGTATTTTTGATGACCATTTTGTTATGGTCTAGGTGAAGGTTTACACAGCAAATTGGTTTCCTGCCCAACATTCCATACACCAATCGTCCCATGACATTAACCCTCACCCCACAGTGTGTCAGCATTCTCCCCATTGCTTTCACCATTTCCATCTCTCCAGGCTTCCCGGGTCCTTCTTGTCTTCTCATCTTTGTTTTTGGGCAAATGTTGCTCATCTGGTTGCTTATAATTGCTTGTTCTGAGGAACCCATTCTAGCACATTCCTGTTACTGTTTGTTTTATAGGCCTATCTATGATTCTGCTAAAAGATGACTTTGTGGGATGACTTCATTTCTGCTGGGGTTGAATTTTGAAGAACAAAGAGAAGTTAACTCAAGGGAAAAGGAGAACAAGGACACTCAGGGAGGGAACAGCATGTTCCCAGGCCTAGAGCCAGGCACTAAGGTCAGGGAAGGTGAAGGAAGAGACCTTGTGGGATGAGGTAGAAAGGGATGCTGGAGGGAGCGGTGGGGAGGGTAAACCAGGTCAGCATGAACTGTTTCCACCTTGCCAAACCTGCCCTCTACCCTGAAAGCCCAGGGAACCATCACAGGCTGTAGGTAGGGCTAAGCCAGGATGACACGGGATTACAGGAAGAACAGAGTCTACCTAGTTTTGCAGTGTGTAGGGCCTCCCATCTATCTGTGCGTTGGGGAGGGGAGGCAGACTTTTGCCTGGAGACCCTCTTTTCCTTTTCCCCATGACCTGCCATGCTTGGTTTCTCTGTTGAGCACCAGGGCAGACATGGGCTCCCTCAGGAGGATTAGAAACTAATAATGCTGCCTTTGCTCATCTCCCAGTTGGCAGAATCTTTCATCCCATTTTGCAAAAGTGAAAATTGACATGCAAGATGACTGGTTTAAAGCTGTGTGGCTCCTCAGCTGACCCAGCACTCCTGAACGGGGTTCACCCACCGAACCCCTGCAGGGGTTCCCTTTCCCGCCCTTTCTACTTCCCAGGTCAAACTATCCAGACTTCTGCTGCATTCACCCTGGGATCATGGAGAGCTCATCACACTGGGAGCAGCATCTCAGTGGCCCCTCCCTAGGGCAGTAATAGCTGCCAGTTCCCCAGTAGTTCTGGGATCTCTCTGATGGTAAACATTTCTTCCTGGACTGCCTCCCAAACTCCAGCACCCTCTACAGCCCTCAGGTCAGTGTGGACCCTGAAAAACCCTGGTTCTGGCTTCAGCAGGTAGGGAGGGGCAGTGGGTCACCTGAATAGGAGGTAGGATAACTTCCTAGTGAATTGTGGCTATATCTCAGTCACACTGGCATTCATAGCTCTTCCCAGTTCGAGTCAAACTCCTTCAGCCTTTAGTGTTTCCTGGTTCTGCCATCAATCACCCACTGTTTCCTTCAATGGGGCACTCTCTGCTCAGTATACCCTTAGACCTTCAGCAAAGGGAACGGCAAAGCCCAAGAAGCATGGGCAGTAGGTGGTGTTTCTGTAGAACTGGAAGCACCTGTGTGTCTGAAACCCGGGACGTGAGGAGAGGCACTTGGTGTTGCAGGATAATGAAGCTGCAGACAACATAGGAAAGACTTGTGTTGATACCAAGACCAATGGAAGGGAGGGGTATTTGTAGGATTTTAGACAAAGAATGATGAGCTCTCTCTTGGATGCAGGAGGGGACAGACAGGGAGACACAGGAAAAGACAGTTGCAATTTTCCAGACAGGAGGAGGTTGTCCAGACTGGAGTCCTCTCACAGCCCACTCTCCAAAAACCTCTCTCTGTCCCAACCCTGGATTCCTTGAGGGGTAGAGCAGGAGTTTATCATGAGGTGTGATTGAAGGATTTCAGCGAGGCCCAACCCAGCTAAATGCAAACTTGAGATACCTGTGGGTTACAAAGCTGTGTGCTTCAGATCCTGACCCAGGATGAGTGTTGTGTATATCTGCTGTATGGATGGTTGGGTGAATGGGGGAATGGATGGGTGTGTGGATAATGAATGGATGATGGATGGATGGCCAGATGGTTGTAGGGATGGGTGTTTGGATGGATAGGCTGGTGGGTGGATGAATGAATAGGTGGGTGATGAATTAATGAGTGGATGGATAGATGGATGATAACTAGATAAGTGATGGTTGTAGGGACAGGTGTTTGGATGGATAGGTTGGTGGATGAATGGATTGTTGGAAAGGTGGGTAGATGGATGGATAGACAATTGGAAGGATGAAAGAATGGATGACATGCACATCTAATTGAACTGTGTCTTCCCTGGAACACTCCTGGCTTCCGAGCCATAAAAGGACTTTGAATCCTGAAGATCTTGATAGGAAGTCCTATCAAGGTTGTGTTACAACCCCTCTGGACTCTGATATGCATTCAAGCTTTCCAACTTTTAGGCACTAATTTTCTCTAGAGGAAATTCTTGATTCTTCCTTACAAAACCATCTTATATTTAACTACCCACAGTGCCACTCCAACCAATCCTGTCTTTTATCTGCATACGCAGAGACCAACTACATTGCCTTCCTCCCAACCATTCCCTCATTTGAGCTGCTTTAATCCCAGCTGTCCATTTCTTGGATCATGTGTATGCAGGGATTCAAAAGTTGATGGCTGTGCAATTTTCACCTTGAATTTTATTGTTCTGGCCCCTCCCACAGGTCCAGCTTTGTGCCCTGTTCTTGATGCTAGTCAACCATTTTCAGCAGGAGCTGACATATCTGTTCAAAACAAGTTGGGAACAATGTAGTCAGTGTGAACACCATCAATCAGCCCTTCTCCATTGTTGTGGACAAACCAGCAGGTGACATTCAGGCCACTGCTGGCATCCTTCCTGTAGTCTTTCTGGGAGCCCCTGGGAGAAAGGAGAAAAATGCTGTTATACAAGGTGGGCAAAGTGGCTGCTAATATCGTAGGTCTAAATAAAAAGGTTGGTAGAGCTGAGAACTCGGAAGTCTTTGGTCACGTGAATGAGAATCACATAAGTACTCCTTTTAGGGAACCAAGTTTGGTCTTTCTCTTGATTAGGAAGGGATTAGAGGGGGGTCAGACCCCAGAGGAAAACAAGGGCACCCTACAGAAAACAAGAGCTTGCTAGGCAAATGTGCCTGCTCAGAGAGGGCTCCTTTCTTCTATCCTGTTACTGGTCAACGTCAGAAGATTCCCCACTACCTGGTTACTTTCAACCGATGGTTCTTCACTACCATTGTGGCATCTGGCTTTGCAGGATCAGAGCTTGGGTGGATGTCAGACACTTTAAAGTCAAAGGGGTGAAAGAATTGTCCTGGAAATCAAAACATTCATGCTGTCAGCTTCTGGCCATTGTCCTGGGCAAATGACCACTGGCCCTTTAAGATTGATGCAAGGCTAGGTTGTGTGCTGAGGAGCAAGGTGCCATGTGGTCTGAATAGCCTATAGCTTGAATGGTTCGTACCTAGCAACCCGTGTGTCTGCACTGACATTCGGTGACTGTCCACCACATAGAAGCCCAGAAAGTCATGGTGGACAGGATTTTTCTTCCAAACTTGGTGCAGGACAATCACAAAGGTAACCCCATCTCCAAAGGAGACTAGCATATTCTTCTTCCTGTTGATTGTCACAGACAGCCTGGGAGAGAAGAGGAGGTCAACACACATGCATGAGGCCCAGTACCCATGACACTGCACATATAACTAAAGCGTATCTGGGCAGGACCTTCCCTCTACATAGTGCCTGAACATGCATAGACTCCAGAAACCAGCTTGGAGGTGTGGGGGAGAAGAGATCTCACACACATTGTCCATGCAGTCCAATGGGTAGATCATTACTCTTCTCTGTAAGCAGGGAGGCAGGCTGTCCTGGGGCCAGAGGCCTAGGGTTCAGCCCCAGCTCAGTCACTGACTCTTGTGTGACCTTGAGAAGATTCCACTTATCTTCTGAGCCTCATTGGGGATAACATTCCTGTACTGTCCACCAGGTTCTGGCATTCTGAAGGCATAGGGAAGGCTGAAGAGTTTAAGAACTAACTCGTTCAGCCAGGGAAGATCAAAATTGGGATTATCTTGATCTGATTACCAGGTTATTATCTTCCATCGCAGCACCCTTCCTTCAAGGTCAGTCCTACACCTGCCCAATGACCAATTCAAGCTCTGACAGGCCCCTTCGCAGTGTAGGGAGCTGAACTCCAAGAGTGGAATTTGTTCAAGTCCTCAAAAACCTCCTTAGCATCTCTGGCTGTAGACCTGGCTCTTACCCATCCTGTGTGACAGTGACGGTGTCCAGCCAATTGAAAGTGCTCTGTGCAGCCCCATTCCACAGGGTGATTTTCTCAGTTGTCACCTCAATCCGAAGAGCTATCTGAGTGTTGGTAATCCCCAGTTTTCCAAAGTAAGTCTTTCTGATCTTGGAGTCAGGGCTGGGTCTCTTGTCTCCAATTATCTGTCCATTAACTGTGAGGCCTGCCATGGGGACAGGGAGGGGAAGACCAGGATGGCATTTAGGAATGTGGGGTTTCCTTCAACCAGGCCTTCTGTGAAGTTTCAGAGTGGGGGTCCAAGGAGAACACAAGACTTTAGATCACAGCATTGTCTAGCCCTGAACATATTTGGGCCATAGTGGCTGCCAAAGACCCATGTGTGGATTTGCCCTTGACTGAACCAGGGAAAAGGCTATTCATTCTGAGAAAAACTATTTACCCCAGGCCTCAGGCCCATGCTGCCCTTAACTCTAAGCATCTCTGTATCCCTTGGGGCACTTCAGGAGACTGTGACTCTGGGAAGCCCTCTCCCAGCCCAGGAAAGGGGTGTGCTGTTCACAATGAGCAGAGTGAGGACCAGTCCATGTGGCCCACCTGTGACTGGGTCCTGGATGAGGCGCAGCACCGTGCCTGGGTCTTCATCAATGTTGAAGCAAATGGCATCGTCTGTCTCTGCGACTTGGATGATGAAGTGAGGGTCTCCATCCACTAAGGGCACATCAGAGAAAAGCCTGGCTCCCTGGGGCCTCCCCTCACTTCTGGGACCCTGTGGCCTGGTCTACCAGACAGGGAGTTGCTGTGCCCAGGACCCTGTGCCTTGCCCAGGATCAGTCAGGGGACTTACCGTAGTAGTAGGGTCTTTGTGGGGCCTGGTAGCGGTCTGTGGACACAAAACAGGAGAGGGCAAAGTTAAACCAGCAGCTTTGAGAGGTGCCAGGACCCACATCCAGAACTTGGCTCATGCACCTTCCTCTTTCTACTCCCAAATGTTCCCACCCTTCCACTTCTCCTCAGGATACCTGGTCATCTCCCTGTCCCAGAGAGGACAGACCCTGGAAGGAAACCGGACAGTGGGCAGAGGGGGCTGCGGCAGTTAGCACATACTCACGCATGTAGGCCATGGAGGGGGTCACAGACTTGGCTGAAAAGAAGCCAAAGGACATCCTGAGTGGGGCCAAGGGACACCCCTCCCCAAGCCCCATGCCTCCTGCCTGTCTGGGGGCCACCAGCCCCCAGGGTACTCAATGCTGGAAAATAGAAGTAAGGATGTGACCCCTAAGTTTAGGCTTTAGAAATGGGGGATATGTTCAGGGAACCCCTTTTTAAGACATGTATATATTGTTTTGTTGTTACTAAGTGCCATCGAGTCAGTTCTGACTCTCAGTGACCCTGTATAGGGCTTCTCGGGCCATACATCTTGACGGGATCAGAAAGCCTCATCTTTCTCCCACTGAGTGGCTGGTGGCCTTCAACAGCTGACCTTGTGATTTGCAGTCCAGTGATTATGGTATAGAGCCACGGCGCTCCCGGGCATGTATATAATGGTGTGCTTTTAACGTTAGAGACATATAAAAAATGGCAGCCATTAAGCCATCAGCTTCTGTTTCATGAGCAATGCTCTTAATACACATCTTCCTCACCCCAAACCCCCTCTCTTCCCCACTCGCAGTGGACTGAGTTCATGGCTGTCTATTGCTCCCTATTCCCACACATAGGTGTCCACCCATGCACTCACACACGTCCACACATGCATTCACACGCACACACCACTGGCTGTACATTTGACAAGACAGTTGTGAGGGATAAGTGATGGCCCGGCCCACGTGTGCAGCCTGGACCAGACATCCTCTTATAGACAGAAGTGGAGGAGGCACTTAGGGGCCGGGAGGCTGCTGGTGGTAGACTCTTGAGGAGTTAGGTTCCAATTTTAAGATGAGAAAATTACAGTGCTGAGATAACTGCATGGGTGCTGAAACTGGGCAGCCTGTGCCCAAATGCCATCTCTAGTTATGTACTAGCTGAATTCTCTGGGCCTCACTTTCCTCACTGTAAAATAGGACTAGTAAACAGCCCTCCTTGGAGGGTCACTGTGGGATTATTAGAGTGTAAGTGTCTAGCATTTAATAAATTGCTCATTTTTCACAGGTCCCAGTATTTTTTTTATACTGACTGCTTCTTCTCAGGCAGGTGGTAGTTGTTGTTAAGTGCCGTCGAGTTGATTTCAATTCATAGTGACGCAGGGTTTCCGAGGAGCACCTGGTAGGTTTCAACCACTGACTTTGTGGTTTGAAGTCCAGTGCTTATCCTAAAGCGTCCCACCAGGCCAAGGGAGCCACCCCTATTCATTGGGGGCCCCATGAGGGGTAGAGCCTGGCCCAAGGCTGCTCATAAGTTGACAGTAGACCTGGGTCCTGAGTTCACGGGCCCTGGAAGCCGTCCCCTACACAGGCATCCCTTGCTTGCTCCCTTTCTGTTTTATCTCCCTCCCTTGATGCCCACCCAGCAGCTGGCTAAAGTTTACCTTCTGCATCCACAGGTACCATGGGGGAGAAAGAAGAGAAATCAGTTAGAAATCAAAAGCTTTTAGTATCAGGGTCAATGCAACAGATAGAAGCAGCCTGTGCTCACTGCCTGGCCAACCCAGTTCCAGGTCATGAGCCTCCCCAGCAGCCAGCTGGGCCCCTACCCAGTCTCCTCTGGAGCCAGGAGCTCCTAGTGGCCAGAGGCCTGGACTGGCCTAGCTCTGTGCTCCCAAACTTCCCAAGGTCACTCCCATGTCCCACCTGTGCCCATCTCAGGACTCCCCTATCCAGTAGTGAGGCCCGGTTGAGTAGACTTGGTCTCAACCCCTAGCTCCCAGGGCATCTTTCTCTCACAGTCCCCAGGGACCTGGTAGCCTGCTTCATGCCAGACCTTTAGGCTGGAAGTACTTCTAGTCTAACGAAGCCCTTCCATCTTGCAGTCTACATTCATTTCCTTGAAAAGGCCCCGTTACTCGCACGCTTTTAGAGACCTAGATGTTCTTATCACATCCTCCACTGTCTGTGCTATCCGTTGCACTCTCTGTACCACTCTCCCCAGCCCTTGGCCAGCATCCTTTGGATGCCCCCTTTGTCAGCAGGGTGGGTCTCTCTAGCCCTTCCATACACTCAGAGCCTAGGGTCCTGAAGTGAGACTTTTGACCTCTGGCCTCCGCTCTCTGCTCACCTTCCCCAGGTTTGTCGGCAATGGCAGTCTGGTCATCATTGTCTTCGGGCTTGGTCACCACCATGGAAGTCAGAGGAGTCACAAAATGGTACTTGAGGGACAGCTCCAGGGCCTGGGCCGTGAGGTTCTCCTTCTCCTCTCCTTGGGCATTCTTGCTGTGAGGAGGGGAGGTTGGAAGGGTCAGCACAGACCAGGTGAGGAGCCCATCTCTACCAGCCCCACCACGAGTTGCCTTAGGGCAGATCCCACTGGAATTCTGTAAAGACTGGTTCGCATGCTCACTGGGGCACATGGCCAAGCCCTGTGCGCTGTCTGGGCCTCAGTTTCTCCATTTATCAAACACAAGGAGCTTAAATGACTGCTAACTGCAATCCTTCACAATACTGAGGGCTTTATGAGCTCATCCATCTATACTAATGAGGCCCCCTGCCCTCTGAGAGGGGCTCCAAGCTCTGTCCTCTTAGGGAGCTGGGTCTGGGATGCCAGTCTTCTGTTCCACTCAGTCTCCCATCACTTGCTGGGGCTGGGCTGAGAAGAGGGCACACCAGATGGGACTCTAGGGGTGGGTGTGTTTCCCGGGACGTGGCAGGTCCTGTTCCTGTTGCTCCCCCAGAGCAGAACCCCACAGGATTCAACTCAGGCAGGTGCCAGGTCCCAGGTGTGGGTTGGACACTGTGAGGGAGACCACAGTCACCGCTTCTCCAGTAGCTGCTCAATGGTAAGGTAGGCCCAGAGCCTCTCGATGTAGTTCCCAAAAATGTAGTCCTGCTCCTGCAAGGCCTTCTCCATCTCCTTCACATCCACCTCCTCCTTGAAGGTCAGGTCATTGAGAGCCTAGGACAGAGAGATGGGGGGAGGGGAGACCATGGGCTTGAGGGCTGAGAAGCTTCAAGTCAGGTGGGCTGAGTTCCAGGATAATCAATGTGGGCTGTCTGTCAGGAATCTGGAGCCCAGCCACACAGAGACCACCCACCACCCACCCCATTCCCAACACAAGGCCCTGCTGGGCCCAACTCACCCCATGACCCTTCACGCCTGCTGTAAAGCTGTTCATGTCCTCGTCCATCAGACGTCCAGCCACCACAATCTCGGAACCATCATAGAAGTGCTGGTAATTGTTCTGGGTGAGGTCCAGGATGGCGTTCTCAGGGTACTCCAACTCCACGCCTGTCAACAGTGGGTTGGCCACCTCCTCATAAAAGCCCTGAGGTCCAGAATTGGGATCCGGTTACCACAGGCCACAGGGCAGGTGTGGAGAGGACCAAGGCAGGTGGGTTTCCACTGCCATTGCTGCGAGCACCCCTGGGCCAGACTTGTTCTCCTGATTTCATTTCTACAGGACCCCTTGGTGTGGTGATTTGGGAAAGCCCTTACCCCAGGTAGAGACTGATAAGAATAGAAAAGGACTGAGTTCTTGGCACATAGAAAATATTCAAGAAATATTTGTCAGATGAGACTAAGAAAGAAAGAAGGAAAGAAAGGAGTGCTATTGGAGGAGAGCAGGTGAAGTGGGATGGGAGCGTGGGTAGAGATAGCACGGATGATGGTGCAGGCTCCTGTAGGGGATAGAAATACAGTTGCCTGGGTTAGCGAGTACAGTACAGGTTGTTGTTAAGTGCTGTTGGTTGAGCTGGTTCCAACTCATAACAACCCTATGCTCAACAGAATGAAACACCACCTGGTCCTATGCCACCCTCACAATGCTTATGCTTGAGCCCATTGCTGTGTCCACTGTGTCAATCATCTCTTTGGGGAGCTTCCTCTTTTTTGTTGACCTTGTGGTGCTGTAGGTAGATAAATATACCATGGCTTGGGTCAGGAACCTTAGTCATCAAATTGATCCCTTTGCTCTTGAACCCTTTAAAGAGGGCTTTTGCAGCAGATTTGCCTAATGCAGTAAGTCGTTTGATTTCTTGACCTCTACTTTCATGAGTGTTGATTATGGACCCGAGCCAAATGATGTCCTTGACAACTTCAGTCCTGTCTCCACTTATCATGATGTTGTTTATTGGTCCAGTTATGAGGATATCTGTTTTCTTTATTGAGGTGCAATACATACTGAAGCCTGTGATCTTTGATCTTCATCAATATTTTAAGTCCTTTTCACTTACCAGCAAACAAGGTTGCATCATCTCTGTATTGCAGGTTGTTAATGAGTCTTCCTCTAATCCTGATGCCATGCTCTTCTTCCTATAATCTAGTTTCTCAAATTATTTGCTCAGCATACAGATTTAATAATTATGGTGAAAGGGTAAAACCCTGGTACACATATTACCTGATTTTAAATCATTCAGTATCCTTTTGTTCTGTTTGAACAACTGTCTCTTGGTCTATGTATAAGTTTCTCATGAGCACAATTAAGTGTTCTGAAAAACCCATTCCATGCAAAGTTTTTCATAGTTTATCTTGGTCTACACAGTCAAAAATCTTTGTAAAGTCAATAAAACACAAGTAAACATCTTTCTGGAATTCTCTGCTTTCATCCAAGATCCATCTGACATCAGCAATGATATCTCTAGTTCCACGTCCTCTTCTGAAACTAGCTTGAGCTTCTGGCATCTCCCTGCTGATGTATTGTTGCAACCATTTTTGAATTATCTTCAGCAAAATTTTACTTGCAGGTGATATTAATAATATTGTTCGATGATTTCTGCATCACCACTCTTTGGCATAGGCACAAATATGGATCTTTAATCAGTTGTCCTTCAAATGTCTTGGTATAAGTGAGTGAGCACTTTCCAGTGCAGCATCAGTTTGTTGAAAGATTTCATATTCTTTCTATTCCTAGAGCCTCGTTTTTCACCAATACCTTCAGTGCAGCGTGGAGTTCTTCCTTCAATACCATTGATTCTTGATCATATGCTACCCTTTGAAAGGACTGAACATTGCCTGTTTCTTTTTGGTATAGTGACTGTATATCCCTTCCATCATCTTCTAATGCTTTCTGCATCATTCAATATTTTGCCCATAATGTTGTTAAGTGCCATTGAGTCAGTTCCAACCCATAGTGACCCTGTATAGGGTTTACAAGGAGTGGCTGGTGAGTTTGAACCGCCAACCTTGCAATTCAAAGTGACCTTACAGTCCAGTTCATTAATCCACAGTACCACACCAGGATTGCTTCAAAGTTGCAAGTTGAGACTTGAATTTCTCTTTGGTTCACTCAGCCTGAGAAATATTGAGCATGTTCTTTCTTTTGGATTTTCTAAATCCAGATCTTTGCATATTTATTTTGCGTATTTCATTTGTCTTCTCAAGCTACCCTTGAAATTTTCTGTTTAGCTCTTTAATTTCCTCACGTCTTTCACTTGCTTTAGCTTCTCGATGCTCCTGAGCAAGTTTCACAGTCTCTTCTGACATCCATTTTGCTCTTTTCTTTCTTTCTTGTCTTTTTAATGATTGTTTGCTTTCCTTCTGTGTGATGCTCTTGATGTCATCTTACAACTTTTCTGGTCTTTAGTCATTAGTGTCTAATGCATCACATCTGATCTTGAGATGGTCTCTAAAATCAAGGCCCTATTTTGGCTGACATGAACTTGTTTTAATTTTCTTCAGCTTCAGTTTGAATTTACATATGAGCAATTGATGGTCTCTTCCACAGTCAGCCCCGACCTTGTTTTGGTTAGTGATATTGAGCTTTTCCACTGTCTCTTCTCACAAATGTAATCAATTTGGTTCCTGTGTATTCCGTCTGGTGAGGTCCAGGTGTATAGTCACCTTTTATGTGGCTTTAAAAATGTATTTGCAATGAATAAATTCTATCATGCAAAATTGTATCTCTAGCATCATTTCTATC